CCGTGGCATTGAGACGGTCGTTGGCGATGATGTACGAGTTAGACGTCTCTGTCGTTTGGAGGACAGCGGCAACCATCTGGGCCATGCCAGCCATGGCGGCAAGGCGAGACAGCATCATCTTCATGGCGACGTTGTGTGTTCGGGCCGAACTGATCAGGACGAGTAGGTGGCTGGAGAAGACTGTCCCGGGCGGTTGGTAGACCAGGAGTAGGAGAAGCCAAAGCCAGACGACAGCGTCGCGCGCGCAGTATTTATGGCGAAGGGCAATGAGCGAAGGGTAGCAGCCGGAGGGCGTGCCTGTGATGCACTCCCCGTGTTCTCCCCACAGTCCAATTTGCACTGATCATGGGGAACGCGGGGAATGAACCCCCCCTGATGCCTGGGGAAGGCCAGCATGGGCAGCATGAAGTCCTCGCCACGGGTTCATCTCGACCGAGGGCCAAGCTACCCCAATATCAACGACCATGCCGGAACGGGTGGCTGGAGAGAAGCGAGCGACAATGATTGGCACGACTTCGCCCCAGCGTCACTATCGCTAAGATGAGCCGTGGGGTCAAATGCCGATGGTCGAAGAGTAGTTGCGCTCCGGATGGGGCTATGGGGGCGACAATCTGCCGGTCTTCGGCAGAGATGAGGCCGACAGTGAGGAGCAGACTCGACGCCATCGCGGACAATCTGCGCAATGCAGGCATCTTGGCCGACGCGGGCGAGGGCAGGCCACTCTCGAATCGGCGCAAATGCTGTCGAGCTCGGGGTTGACAATTTCCGCGTATGGTAAGTGCATGACTCGGGCAGCACTGAGATGAAGGCCCTGGCAGCAGGCGACACCATGAAAACCACGTGTGCGTCGGCAGGACGGCATGCACCATTGACACGAGGGCGCGAGGAGGCGACGATCAGAGGAGCCATCCAGCAGCTGGCATGCGTGATCCCTGGGCCGTTCTTCCGACCCAGCAGTTGCCTCGGGCGAGCCATGAGTGGAAAGACGAGCATGAGGGCGATTCCAGACGAACGGTTCCTGGAAGCGTGCCGTTCAGCTGAGGGGAAGCGGGGAGAGGCGGGACTGCGGGGGACCCCATTTCTCCCACTATTGGTTTGCTCGAGGGGCCAGATCCAAACAAGGCGATCCAAACAAGGCGAGCTGTTCATCGTCACCGATTGTTGTTCTGGGTTTCGTCCCAAGTCAGGCTTCATCCCAGATTCGTTTGGACCGCCCCGGTCACAAGGACTAATCCCACGTCCCGAGCGAGGTCCGCGGGCACCAGACGTCTACAACGGGAGGCGGGCAGACCTGCAAACACTGTCTGATCGGAGTCTTTGACGATGGCCAGAACGAGGAGCTTTGATCGTGGATGCAAGCCTGGTTGTTCTCGGGCCCAGCCGATATTACGTAGCATGTACCTGGACGATCACTTCGGTCGATGTTTCCTTGACACATGCCTGCCGTCGGTATGCTGGGTTACATTCATGGGTTTCGTTGCTTAACGGATCCCCTGTTCCTTGAATGACATCTCAGTCGGAGACTGGGTTGGGAGACACAGATAAGTGCTCATCCGGATGGCTGGTGCCTCGATCAAGGTCGAGTAGAGATAGGCTTTGCTGGTCCAAGTGGTGGAGGAGCATGAACCGTAGGACGAGTCCTGATTGCTGTCCAGACACACGAACGTTCGAGGCTCTCCACATGTATTAGAGAGACAGGGAAAAAGGCAAGGTGGTAGCCAAGACAGGCGCCTATGCAGTTGTGATTCTATTAGTGGGAAAGATGGAAGTAGCGAAGCAGCAACGGTGGAATACGCTTCTAAACAGAGATGCTACTTATGAGAGTTCTGACTAATCGTGGAGACAGCCTTGGCAGCTCCGTCGTCTTCTTACTCAGCAAGGCCTCTCTGGTGGATCCCTCCGATCAGAATGGAGTGAGCGCTTGCATCACAGCACAGCAACCGCACCGCACAGCAGAGCACAGCAGATGGATCTTCCTCCCTTCAGGGACATCTGCGACATACTAATGGGCAAATATAGCTTTGGTCTCCACCCTTGGCTATCCTGTCTCGTCTGCATTGGGCGGCGTGATCGCGCAGCCGCCCAGCTGGGCTCTTTTGTGCCTGTACACCTCAAGCGCTTCAGGGGCTGAGACGGCGCAAAGCATGACTTCCAATCTCGTCCTGAAACAAGGCCAGAACCAGTCAACCGCCCTCTTGATTTTCCCTGCCGCCATTCCAGCCAACCACCACAATCCGCGGCCCCGATCCAGAACCCGCAACCGCGCCTGGCTCTGGTGTGTGATTCTCCTTTTAGGATGCCAGTCACTTTGGGGTAACATCAGTCACGCATTTTGAGCCATAGCAGCAAGAAGAGAAGGCGTTCGCTGTCGACCAACTCATGCATATCCCTGCAACGCGGAAGTCCGTACCAGCCTACCTCATGCGCTGGCTCGACCACAACTGGCTGTCATCCGCTGCCGTCATGGAGCTCGGCCTCCTTGGCTTGACTCCTGCCCAGAAAGCTGGGACAAGCTAGGAGCCTTGCCAGGAGCCCTCCCGCCCAAAACCAGGCACATCATCCCTCCATACTTGGCCCTGATCTGTCCGAGGCCCTGTCCTCCGCCCATGTACATGAGATTGGGCATGAGTAGTGAGCAATAGCATGAAGATGATGGACGGGAAGAACACGAGCACCTCCCATTCCGAGGTCGGGGGGGGTGTTCGTCCCTCTTTCGACCCCCGTCACCTCAGCTCATGCTCGAGCGCGGGCACAAGATGCTCGAGCTCCGTCTGGAGCCAATATCAAGCTCCCCATACCCCCTCGTCGACCAGTGTCGACATGGTATAACTGCACGCGTCGCCACAGCCAGAGTCCGGCCCGCCGAGTTTGCTACTTTCTGACTCTGTTGCTTCTCTCCCTTGCTGTTAATGTCTATTCTCTTCCAAAATACACCCACAATCACCCCTTTTCGTACTTGGATCATATTGAACCCAAAGACTTGTACGATACCCTCCGATTCCTGAACAGTATGGTTGCCTGGGTTGGGGGCCTGGCTGCCCGAGCCGGCGCCGTCTTTGTCATGTCCAGCCGGCCAGAAACGCAGCACGCGAACCTGACGACGTACACCATCAACTCTATGGCGGCTATCGACGCTCTCCAGAGCACATGGTACAATGTCCAAAGCGGTATCTGGGACAGGAAGTGGTGGAACAGCGCCAACGTCTTCACAACATTGGCTGATTTTGCAAGCATCGATGTCGTTGCTGCGAATGCGCTCAACGTTGGTGGCATCATGAGGAACACATTCGAACAAGCCCAAAAGGAGGCTGTCACTTCCTTGAAACTTATCGACGACACGGGCCTCGTCACGTCATCCTACACCATCTCCATGGTCGGCATGGAGGACGCTTCCACAGAAGTGGCCACCAAACTCATCTCTCGCCAGTTTCCTGGGTTCATCAACGAGTTTTATGACGACGAGGGATGGTGGGCACTGGCCCTTATTCGAGCGTTTGATGTCACGCGCGACCAAGGATACCTGGACATGGCCGCCAACATTTTTGACGACATGAAGACGGGCGGCAATACAAACTGTAACGGCGGCATCTACTGGAACAAGGAGCGAAAATACGTCAATGCCATCTCGAACGAACTTTATCTGAGTGTCGCCGCGTCCCTCGCTAACCGTATGCCAAATCGCCAGGCCTATCTGGATATTGCCGCAGCCCAGTGGGTCTGGTTCAAGGCCAGCGGCATGATCAACGAGAGGGGGACCATCAACGACGGACTGGACGGGTCGTGCCGGAACAATGGCCAGAACACCTGGTCCTACAACCAAGGCGTCATTCTTGGCGGTCTGGTCGAGCTCAACAAGGCCACTGGCGACGCCAACCTTCTCTCAGACGCTGCCATCATCGCCAAGGCCGCCATCAAGGAGCTCTCTGACGACAAGGGAATCCTCCACGATACGTGCGAACCCAACTGCGGCGCCGACGGCGAGCAGTTCAAGGGCATCTTTGTGCGAAATCTGCACTACCTGCATAAAGCCGCCCCCGACGCCGCGTATCGCAAATTCATCCTCAACAACGCGGACAGCAACTGGGCCCAAAACCGGGACGAGGCGAACAAGATGGGAGTCAACTGGGCCGGACCTATACAACGCGTGTCCGGTGGTACGCACAGCTCGGCACTTGACACCCTTGTTGGGGCTATGGCTGTCGTATGACGAAGTGATTGGGCGGCGGGCGTAATACATAATAGTACACAGTATATGGCGTTGATTGGGTAGATATACACATGGCTGGATGTTACAGGTCGGAGCGCGGGCGGCAAAAAGAACAACGGGCTGGGTTCACTGGATGGGCTACTTGATGAATGAATAATGATAACACTATTGACGACCACTTTTGAGCGAATTTGCCTCTTGTCAGGCGCTGCACTCCAGCTGTCTATCCTCCCACGATCTGAGGTGGCTTTCCGTGGCTCGATTGGCGTACCCACGCTGTAGCCGTAAGCTGACGCCATGGTGGCACACGAGTGTGTAGTTCGGATGAAGATCCGCAACGCGTGCACGGTCGGAACAGACAAACGTGGAAACTTGGGCGGAAACAATCGCCCTTTGCCCAGGTCTGGAAACGGACACGCTCTGTTGCACGATGAGGCTGAACACTCTTTGAACGTGAAACAATGTTCGCCATTTCCAGACCAAGATAGCTTGCGCGCGAAGTGACACCGCTTCGCAAGCTTTGAACAACATTTGCAGCCCCTCGCGGTTCTGGCACTTTCTTCCGCCTGCAATGCACCCACATTTCATATGCGTTGTAGCGTCAGCAGCATGTGTGCATGTCCAGTCAACACTGCCACGTTTTTCGCCTGTCGTGGAACGAGAACTCATCATGGGCCTGGCCCGTATTTCATGGGGGGTGAGGTTGCCAGGAGCGGCGCCGAGAACACTGAAGCCATACTTGTGTGTTCAAAACAGTGAAAAGTAACAAGGCGACGGATTTAATGAAGTTTGATTAACCATCTGTTAAATCTACACCGACGCCACGGAGCGCCTCCACAGCCCATTCAGGGAACCTGGTCTTGTCGCTATCGTACAAGTTGCCAAAGAATTGCCGTACGAAATCGGGATACCGATCCTCGATGATAGCCTGTCTCACGTTCCGCATGAGTTCTAGTTGATACCAAACATTATGGATCGTCAGCAGGTGGGCGGCGACCGTTTCCTTGGCAGTATTGTGGTTGATGAATGCTCTTGTGATACCGAGACCCCCTTCTCTGCAGCAGATACAACCGCAACCCTCCTCTATGGGGCCGAAATCGGTCGCATACTTCAGATTTCGAATGTTCAGAACACCATGTTTGGTGATGGCATTGCCGAAACGAGCAGTGCGGGTGGGCCATACACAGTCGAACATGTCAGCGCCGAGCGCAACGCTGACGACGAGGTCTTCTGGATAGCCGATGCCCATGACGTACCGTGGCTTGAGGTCGGGTAGCATCTCGGTGCACGTCCGGACGACACGGCAGTAGTCGGCCTTGGCCTCGCCGCCACTGAGTCCGCCGATGGCGATGCCTGGGGTGTCCCGCGCAAGCATCTGCCTGCAGCACTCCCTTCGCATCTCGAGGTCCAGACCGCCCTGAATGATGCAGAACAGGTTCTGGGTCGTCGGGTTCTGGTGAGCTGCAATGCAGCGGTCGAGCCATCTCACGCTGCGTTCCATGGCCTCGCGCATACGCTCCTTGTCTGGGGACGTTGTCACGAGGACGTCGTCTAGCTGCATGATGATGTCGCTCCCGATGGTGTTCTGCAACGAGATTGAGTGTTCAGGCGTGAGAAGCATGGGTGACCCATCGTGTGGGCTGAGAAAGCGCACACCCTCCTCGGTGATGTTCGCCAGCTTAAGGAGGCTGACCATTTGAAAGCCACCGCTGTCGGTCAGAATGTTGTGGTTCCATCCCTGTAGCTTGTGCGCACCGCCGACAGCAGCAAGGACATCTTGCCCGGGCTTGAGACCTAGATGATAGGTGTTGTTCAGGCACAGGCGACAACCTGTCTCCTCGAGCTGCTCAGGGGTAAGTCCTTTGAGCGATGCCTGTGTCGCAACAGGCATGAACATGGGAAGCTGTACTGGTCCATGAGGGAGAGTCAAGTTTGATGCACGAGCTCTTGTTGTCTGGTCTGAGCTGTTAGCAACGTCTCACACGGCGAGGTAGTCGGTGGGTGTCTGGAAAACAGTGCCGGCGTCGAGGAGGAATTATTTCATACCGAACAGCGTGCGATCAGCTCAAACGTGAGGGCCGCTGAAGAGCTCACATTGATGGAAGCCATTCTTCTTGTAGCCCACATGGAAGTCAAGAGTCCTGGGCTTGTTGTGAAGTGAAGGTCACTTCTACTCCATGTTATCAAGGCACAGCTCTTGACTTTTAGGGGAGAAAAGGTCGAGGCAGGTACGGTACGTATGGGTCGCACATTTGAGCGGCTCGTGGTCGGTTTATCGCAAGGGGGAGCAAAGTGGAGATGGCATGGCGGAACTGGCCAATGTTAACGCGCCAGTCTGCTAGCTGGTAGTTTCCGCATCACTCCATTGGAAATTTCCCTCCACGCCCAAACGCCAACTCCAGCTCTGCCTCAAGACAACTTCGCAGCCTCGAGCCAGCATCACCACCGGTGCCGAATAGGGCCATGTCTGCCAGACTCTCGCCCGGAGGGGCTTTGCTCCGGTCGTCGCGTCTATTCTCCGTTCCGAAACCAATTCCTGGTCCAAGTGCTGCCAGCGAGGATGCCGGATATGGGAGCACCCTTCGCAGGCCGACAGGCACATCGCCATACCCGACGCATCAATCCATCACGACGCCCGAGAGTTCGCGGAGCCAAGGCGACTGGGGCTTGAAGCGCTCTTTGCCTCTTAAGATGACCACCAAATCGTCCACGCCATCCATCCACGTAAAGCACCTTGACTCGATCGAGAAGATCACCGACTACTCCTCCTCATCCCAGCACTCCATTACGCTGCAGAAGTTCCAGGAGCTCAATCTGCCTCTTACCGTGCCGACCCTGCCGAATCGCTATCGTGCCGTATCCCTTGGCACTACTTCGGTTTTCGAGGACGATCACGACGTTACTGCCGTCGGAGGAACTGGATCCGACAAGAGGTGGAAATTCGAAGGGCCATGGCTGGCTGGCTTGACTGAAGGACAATTCGAAAATTATGTGCAAAAGACCGTCCGCAACAGACGTCAGGAGTTCCAAGCGTTCCTCCGAACGCGCTTGGCTTCCGATTTGACTGCCGCACAGCAGCAGGCGGCTCTCGATAAGGCCATCGAGGCTCCAGCGCCTGTGGTCGCCAAAGACGTCACTGAGGATCAGCTGACGGAATACACTCGCAAGCTGCGATCTGACCGTGTCACTCTCTTTGCCCTGATCAGCGAGTTCCTTGACCTCGCCCCGCTCAACCCCCCGAGCGCCATTGCCAACATGTCCGCTGGCACCCGGATCGAGTCCAAATCGCCTAACCCCTACGCCGAACGCGGTCCTCCGATCACTCACCCGTCTGGCGGTCTGTCGTACATTCGAACAAATGCTCATGCCGAAAACCACCCGCTGTACGGACCTCAGGCGAACCCTTCGCCTGTCTTGGCCCGGATCATCTCTCCGAGGCACATGTCCAACCCCGCCAAGCTGGGTGTCGCAGGCTTCATCACGGACACGCCGCAGGGCGACTCGGCTTTCAACTACCGAAGCTACCGTGGCGGCAAGGCTCGTGTTTCTGGTATCGCCACATTTGACCCCGAGATCACGGGTGGCTCTAAGTGCTACGTGGAGCCCGTGTCGGCGAACATCAACTCCGCCGGCAAGCTTGTTCTCAAGGTCGACGAGGCCAGCGAGGAGGCGCAGATGATCAAGAAGGAGTTGATTGGCAAGGCTGAGATCTACAACAACAAGAACCCCAATGCTCATGCTCTAGAGTCTGAACCACGAACCCACTCCCAGCGTCTGGGTGGATATCGCGGCTCTCCATTGGGACGACGAGATGGATCTCCTCTGATCAGAAGGCAACCCAAGCCAGGAAAGGTTCAGACCGGTAGCTCTCAGAGCTACGGCCTGGATAAATGAATGCACCCGATGGTTCCAGGGACTTGAAACGTCAACGTGCATGCGCATCCGTCTGGGGGGTTGGGTCGCCACCCTAGACGTGTACTATCAGATAGATCCCTATGTATAGCAATGTAAGATGTTCAACAAGTCACGCGCCATGTAGCCCAATACCCCGGAGCTAAACTTAGAGATCCTACAAGCCAAAACGTGACGTGTATTGCTCTGGTGTAAGTGAACGATAAAGACTGCCTTCAGTCGACGCGGGACGGTCTGTGAGTGCGGTGCACTACAAATGCCGAAAACCTCAAGTCGATGCAGTACGGTGGGCTGCGTGGGATTTTGTGGTCACGTGTCAGGCTTGAAGCATCCCCCACTAGGTATCCAAGTACCACAGCGAACGAGAACCCTAGGCCCACTTTTTGATTTTACCACACAAGTCCTTTCTCCCACTGTTCTTTTCTGCAACCGACCCTGACGAATTTCACGGCCTCATCACGACCTCACGACAACCACCGCCCAACCACCTCGTCCTTTGATCCTCAGCCGCCAAAATGGGTCGCGTTCGCACCAAGACCGTCAAGAAGTCCGCCAAGGTCATCATTGAGCGGTACTACCCCAAGCTCACCCTGGACTTCGAGACCAACAAGCGCATTTGCGATGAGATCGCCATCATCGCCTCTAAGCGCCTCCGCAACAAGGTCAGAAAGCGCTTCCCAAGAGAACCGGTGACCCGAAGTACCAGGATTGACAGTTTTTGAACAACAGATTGCCGGCTACACTACGCACTTGATGAAGCGTATTCAGCGTGGTCCTGTCCGCGGTATCTCCTTCAAGCTCCAGGAGGAGGAGCGTGAGCGCAAGGATCAATACGTCCCCGAGGTCTCTGCTCTCGACTTCACCCAGAACTCCGAGAGCGGCCAGCTCGACGTCGACGTCGAGACCAAGGACCTCCTCAAGCACCTCGGCGTACGTCTCTACTTTTCACTATATGCGCGAGTGCGTCTTCGGCTAACCAGACATGCAGTTCGACGCCATCCCCGTCAACGTCATCCCCGTCTCTCAGGCCCAGGCCCCCGAGCGTGGTGGCCGTCGCTTCGGCGACCGCCCCCCTCGCCGCGATTAAGCGTTGTTTGTTACGATGGATGGAAAAACTGGTGGACGATACCAACTGGGATCAGGCATTCGGAATATTGCCGACGGCGTCTCGCGGACGGTAACACGGGCATACTAGAACTCAAAGAGAAGTTCATCCCCCACCAAGGTGTCGCTGATTTTGCTGGGTTCGCCCACAGATGACGCTTGATTGCCATTTGCTTCCCCACCTGCCGTGATGTCGACGTCGGGCGTTACGAGTAGGCAGCCCAATCCTCACATGAGGCTTCGGGATCTCCCAGGTCTCATGTTAGCGCGTCGTCACGCCCGACCGCGCGTGTGTCTGAAGTGTGACTTATGGGGTATCATTTTTGTGACGAAGTTATCTGTGGGATGATTTATCCGTTGCCCTGCTGCCCGGGGGACGTGCATGCGATTTTGCTATCCATCTTGCGCGCCCTCGATGGCTTCCTCGTGGGCTTTTGCCTTACCTCTGCCCGGTTTGTGACCCTCTATCAACAGGTGCGCGGTTCTCTCGTGCTCGCTGTCTTCTTCGTCCGAATCAGGCTCAACCGGTGGCGCGACCTCTTTTTCACGAATTGTGAGAGTTACCGTCCCTGGCGCCGTCGCTGTGCCGTTGTCCCCACGCTCCAGAGCCAGCGCAGCCATGTCCTCCGCTGGGTTTCTGTTGTTGAGCGTTAGGTGTCCGACCGCCTCGGTAGCCTGCGAGACGGGTTCCTTTGTTGTGAACTGAGCTTCTCCCATGAGTTCAATCTCGATATCGGGGATGCCCGCTCGCTCCCACGCCGCTGTTTCGCTCAGCTGAACCTTGACGTACAGAGCCCTCCTCTTGCAGTCTTGCGAGCACCACCTCTCCATCTCTTTCCTGTCCACAATGCCAAAGTCCTTGGACCCCACGTTCATGAGCTTCCACGGCCCGCCTCGCGAGGGCTGGGGCTTTGGCCTCGCGCACAGCGTGTACCCGCACAGCTTGTTGGCATTGCGCTCCTCGATGAGGTCCTCGAAATCACCGGGCTGGAAGAGGCGCACGTGGGTCTTGAAGCCCGTGACGTCGGACGGCGCGGGGTCGGTGGCTGGGTGGCGACCCTGGGTCGCGGGGTATTCAGAGAGGAGGATGAGGCTGTCGAGGATCTGCGCCTCGAGGTCCTTGCGCTGCTGCAGGATGCGCGCGTGTTGGAGGGCCAGCTCCTTGGGATCTTTTTTTCGAAACGTTGCTTCGGCGGGGCCGTCGGGGCCGTGGAGCGCTTGCTTGAGAATGCCCTTCAAGGGCTTAATGTCGGTGTCCATTGCGCGGTGTCGTTTTCAGGTCAGGGGGTCTTCCTTCGCTACGCTGCCGGGAGACTTCTTCGTCATTACGGTTGGTGTCTACAGAGGGTTTGAGGTTTGGCGCTGGTAGCCGTCCCGTCGGATTTTGCCATTGAAGGACCCAGAGCCCTGACGTAGAAGCTTATCGAATCAGCCATGACAATGTGGATCCTCGAGGTTTGGTCAACCTCATATTTGGGTAGCGTGAATATCTCTCAACTGAATGGATATGCATTTGTAGGGATGAACTTCCCCGTGTCTTGATGTATTGCTCATCGAAACCCCTTATTAGCAATGTGACTTATACCTCGAACCAACCCAATCCTGGTATTCAGGCGGCTTTTGAATTGCAGCGAACAGACGTGTCTACACAAGGCCTGCCAGTCACAGGACGACGGTATACCCTGTGCGTTGTCAGTCTTTATGTCTCATTTGGATATATTTGTACGATGTTCGTGATTCCATGTGGCGGTGTTCTTCACAGTTCGGCCTGGAAAACTCCATCTATACCGTCAATGGATTTTATGCTCACCAAGCCACTGTGCGTGCAGGGCACAGCGCAACCCAGATGGGAACTGAGCTGCATTCTAATTCCTTGAACCTCCACAAGCCAACAACCCGGTACCTACGGCCCCCCCATTTGTACGAGATTCATACGGATGTGGCCTTGCCATCTCTTTGGCTCAGAAGTATCGCGGCAAGGTCCACAGCCTGTTCAGGTCCATGTCACTCTGGGTGCCGATGCGTTGCTCCCAGCTGTCGACAATGAACGAGCGTGGCCAACGCACGGCGATAAAGAAGTGATTCTTACATCAAGGTTATGGAGATTTTGTTTTGATAAGCTCAGTATTCCTATCTACTTGACTTTTGTATGCAACGCCTATCCTGCTTGTGAATTTTGAGCGGTTTTCCTTTTTTAGAGCTCGAGACCAGCCTCGGCCACCTGAAGACCATACTATCAAAATGTTAGCACATGTTCCGAGACACACGTATTTGAGATGTCCAACCTTCTTGAGGCGAATGGCAGCAATCGTGATGAAACCAGACTGTCAATGGTGTTAGCATCTGCAAAAAAAAAAAAATACTTGGCGCAGAGAGCATGTACCGTCTCGGAAGGATCAAAGGTAGTGAGCGAGTCCATGGACGCGTCCTCCTCGGAGTAGAGCTTCTCCTGGGAAGTACGGCCAAGAACGTACGCGTTGCCCTTGTAAAGACGAAGACGGACCTCGCCGTTGACCTGTTTTTCGAGTTAGAGGTCGCCGATTTATGGCATTCATTACCACAACTTACACGCTCCTGGGCGAAGTCGAGAGAAGCTTTCCCCACTGTTAGTTTGTTTTCCTGAACATGAGAGTGACATCACTTACGCTGAAGGAACGCCCTCTCGGGGCTGAAGTACAAGCCGTTGTACAGAAGCTCCGACCACTGCTTGCTGAGGTTGTCGCGAAGGGAACGGACACGTCCATCAAGCACCCTTCCGAGTGTCAGCTGTGGAATCGTCCACCTGTGTTGGAGAAAACTCACAGTCCTTCGATGCTAATGTGTGACAGGCGAAGCAAAGTCATCGCGGGTGAGTCGTCTAGGATCTGTTAGAGCATGTCGTATTCGCAGAGACCAGGGATTCGCATACAGCATCCACGGCTCTTGAGGCCGATGTAGCGGTTCTCAACGATGTCCTTCACATGAATTAGCTTATGGTATAGTACTGTGAGCCATGGAGTGCTTACAATGCGACCAATACCGTGCTGCTTGCCCAGATCATTAAGGAGCTTGAAGAGCTCGAGCGAGCCGGTGACAGTCTTCTCGGGGGTGACGACCTTGACAGGAAGACCCTTGTCGAAGTGAATGCTGATGTCGAGGGGTGTATCAGGCGCCTTCAGGGGCGAATCGGTCCTGGTCCACATGTCTTCAGGGGGAGTGACATTGGGGTCCTCGAGCATGCCCGCCTATATCCAATCAGCCCTGATAATTGTGGTTATTTCTCTCTTATCCCATACCTCGTAAGAGCAGTGAGCTGCGTAAGTTAGCGGCAGTCATGTCATCCGAACGAAGAGCTTGCTAACCAAGATTGTCATCCATAGAGTAGGGCTTGGCCTTGGTGGAGGTGACGGGGATGCCTAAACCGTCTTAGCGAAACCCAGCAAGAGTCTGCTGTGCGAACTCACCCTTCTCGGCAGCGTAATCGAGAAGATCGTTGCGGCCCTGGAAACGGTTGAAGAAGGTAGGATCGCGCCAAGGAGCAATGACTAAACAGAAGTGGTTGATTAGACTCAGATCAATAGTTGTGTGCGCAAGGGTTAGACAGGATCCGGACTATACCCTTGATCGCGGGGTTGATCGTGTAGTAAGCCAGCTAGACAAAGGCATCAGTATACGTCGTACTCGTTTGTGAAGTCATGGCAAGCGTGGGCCGTCTGTTCGTACCTCGAAGCGAACCTGGTCGTTACTATTGAATTCATTAGCCAGATGCCCTCCTGTATAGAGCCCCTCTAGATGTGGAGCTATGGAACGACTTACCCCTTTCCCGTGCAACCGTGAGAGACGTAATCGCATCCCTCCCGCGCGGCACTACCATATGTCAGTATTAACCGGTAAGGAGTACAGCGGGAGATAATTTACGCCTTCATCATCGCACGCGCGATGGCAGGACGAGCCAAGCTTGTCTGGATATACGTCAGGTTCTATGTGTCCGCAGAGACTCGATCGAACGTACGCCGAGGAGATATTGGTCCTCGTAGATGGCATTGCAGGCGATAGCCTTCCAGCAGAACTCGCTGCGTTGGTCAGTAAAAGATATCGAATATCATGTGTGTATACCAACATACTCAACAAAGTTTTGTGTGATGTCCTCGATGATCATCTACATTTGTCAGGATTCTGCGCCCGATGTGGTCGGGGGGTCTTGTCGTGTGCCGAAGCAGCATACCTTCTCAGCACCAATCTGAAGAGCTGCAATGATCATCAGCATGCGATATCCGCTTCGGCCTCATCGGTAGAACTAACCCTTCTTCTCGACGGCATCCCAATCCTCCTCCTGACCGACATTGGCAAGAAAGCAGCTAGAAGATATCAACAGCCGCTCCGATTTCTTCACTTGTGTATTGCGCAGCTCCATGAGCTGCCCACGTGATAGAAGGCTGCTTACACGACGGAGTACTAAAGACAGTGGTCAGCTCTCTCCCAACAATTTTGAACCCGTCCTACTTACATCCTGTTCAATGAGCCAGGCAAGAATGGTCGACGTGTCGAGCTATACAGGATTAGTATGGGAAGAAACGTGGAGCTGGAATTGACCGTCGAAATTGATTCGAGATCGTGGTTCGAGAACGTACACCGCCAGAGTAGCTATCGCAAGTCAGTGCATTGAACTTTGAATGCGGGGGCGGGGTAACCTACGCAAGGCAGACCTTTCCCTTAGAGCCAGCCATGGTGATGATGCTTTGGTGCTTCGGGTAGTAATATGTCGTCAGAGGAAGGATCCGAGTGAAGACGCAGGGTCAATTGATGGTGGCAGAGGGGATTCAATGGATAGAGGAAGAGAGAAATGATTCAGACCGTGTTGGCTGGAGGAATAAAAGGTAAGGGTGCGTTGCGAGATCGGGTGTGGGTCCCTTGGGCCAGCGTCGTGGACAAGGTACCGGAGACCCTTGGGCAAGTCTGCGGGCACTTAAGGTACCTTCCCGTCAGTACGCTTGTGAGTCACTGACACAGTCACACCCTAGCGAAGGATACCGCGGAATTCTGGCGATACCTGCTTCCTCCACTATCGGCGCCAAAAAGATAAGGACCCTAGCCTGAAAAATAGTGCAGCGTGCAGGAGCGGACATGCAGAGCAGGCTGATTGGCAACTCTTTTTCATGTTGGGAGTACGTCGCCTGGGGTAGTGGGGTGAGAAAAGTCAGTGTGGCCTTCAAGTCATCCTCTCAATGACTGTTGCTTGGGTGCAACCATTCCCAAAAGCTGATGCAGTCTTCTTCACTTGAAAACGGGAGAGTCTTGTCATGAAGCCGAAGAAAGCCGCGTCCCACTAATCGCTTGGTACACAAGCTCACGGGCTACAGGCAGCCCAGCCCGGAACGGTTGGATGTTGATGGGTGCATGCCACGCGGTCTTTGCATGCTCCTCCTTGGTGACTACGCATATGTGAACAGCCAGCGCGATGCGGCAGTGCTTCCTCCCATGGTCATATGATACGGTTTGAAACACACAAGATACCTCGCTGGCTTACTCGCACGTGGTGCTGGCATGAGAGTTATCGGGATTTCGTGTCCCAATTCGGAACTATGCAATGCGTGTTACTGGCAAGCGATGGACGAGCTCTTGATGACGGATCGATCCATCTGCACGGTATGGACCTGGAAGGCCAGCGTAAGAATGGATAGCGCGATTCTTGGTAAAGCGAAGTCAGTACATGTTCACGACCTCAGTCATAGGCCTCTGTCGCTGATCCTCTGGAGATTCCGCCCACATCCGGACAGAGGCAGGCTGGTGCCAGCTTATCACTGGGCTGTGACCTCATCGGGTCGAGCTACCTCGGACTAGAGTGGTACCCAGAGACACCGAGACAGAGGCGTGCAAGGATGGCAAGGTGAGGGAAGGTGTGGGACGCGGCCAAGGCAACCTCGTCATTGATTGGCGCCCACCCCACAGCTCAGTGCCCAGTGCTCAATGCTCAGTGCTCTGCTCTGCTCACGACTACGGGGCCCACTGAGGAGCCCATTGTCGCCTCCAGCGGGACGACTCCTCTCTGCTGTCGCCTAACAACACCAAGCTCCCACCTCGCACTTCCAACCATCACCACCCCCCTCGTCCATTCGCCTGCTTGTCTGCCTTGCGAAGCATCACAGATCCGAGGCAATCATGTCGGCTGTGCCCTTCAAAGTGAAGGCGCTGTACGAATACTCCTCTCCTCACGACGATGACCTGCAATTCCCTCCCGGTGTCATCATCACCGTAACCGAAGAAGAAGATGACGACTGGTACGTTGGCGAATATGTCGACGACGCCGGAGCCAAGCACGAAGGCATCTTTCCCCGTAACTTTGTCGAGAAGTACGAGCCTCAAGCACCACCTCGACCTGTGAGAAGCCGCACCAAAAAGGAGAACGAACCGCCTGCTGCTGCGCCGTCCGAGCCCGCGGCTGCCGCCTCGTTGCCTGCGTCTGCGCATGCCCCGGTGCCTGCTCCGGTGCAGGAGCCAGAGCCTCAATCGACCCGACAGTCTGAACCAGAAGCCCCTCGTGATGTACCTGTTACAGAGGAGAAGCCTGAGAGGGCATACGGCATTCCAGAGCCCGCTCCCATCGCTATACCGCTCTCGTCCAAGGAACCGGTAGCTCCGGTCGACGGCACTGTTCAGTCCCCGAAGGAGATCACCGAAAATCTGCCCGAGTCGACTGCTGCAGCTACTACGGAGCCTGTTCCTGCCCCTCCTGTGCCCAAGGCTGCCGAGCATGCCGCCTCTAGTTCTCCTCCTGCCGCGAAGCCCGTACCGGCGCAGGCGAAACCCTCGAGCGGCCCGCCCGTTTCAAACAAGCCGTCGAGCAATGCGTTCAAAGACCGCATCGCGGCTTTCAACAAGTCGGCACCGCCTCCCGCACCCTTCAAGCCTAGTGGAATAGGTGCTGCCGGCTCTGCTTTTATCAAGAAGCCCTTCGTCGCTCCGCCTCCCAGTCGCAACGCCTACATCCCCCCGCCTCAGCAAGCCCCCACTACGAAAGTGTATAGGAGAGAGGAGGATCCCGAGATCAAGGAGCAAGAGGCCGAGACTCACGACAATGCGGAAAAGGCTGGATTTTCCACCTCCAACGACCAAGACGACGGCGACTCTGACCAGCCCAAACCTACAAGCCTGAAAGAGCGCATCGCGCTACTTCAGAAACAGCAGATGGAACAAGCGCAGCGTCATGCCGAATCGGTCACCAAAAAGGAAAAGCCAAAGCGGCCGGCCAAGACACGCACAGAGAGCCACGATGCCCCGGAAGCCCTGACTGAGGGCCCAGACGTCACCTCTCCTGTGCTGGAGGGTCCTGGCGCCGATGATGTCGGTGCGAGAACTTCGATTGACTCGGACAGACTTCCGCCTCCACCGAGGCGCAAATCCTCCAAGGGCCCTGTGGAGTCATACCACGATGGAAATGAAGCCGATATGTCGGGGGCGGGCGACACGACTGAGGGACAGGAGGATCTCACTGAGCGCGAGGACAGCGACGAGAGGCCTCGCCGCATGTCTCGCGTGCCTACGAACCCCGGGCCTGTTCCTCCTCCTCGGGCGTCGATCGATAAGACTGCCGTCAAGGATGACGCTGATGTCGTCGAGGAGGAAGCCGCTGATGAGGAGGAAGAGGACGATGATGAGGATATCGACCCTGAAGCCCGGAGAAAGGAAGAGCTCCGTGCCAGGATGGCGAAAATGAGCGGAGGTATGGGCATGATGGGCATGCATTCGCTCTTTGGTGGCCCAGCACCAGCCAGTGCACCGCCCAAGAAGAAGAAGGCCGACAAACAGCACGCTGAAGAAGCCGAGGAGGCAGCATCGCCCATCAGCGCAGCGCCTCCAGTACCTGTGCCAGGTATGATGGCGCTGCCCGGCATGAGCGCCCCGCATCGTGTTTCCGAACCTACCGAAACCGAGGAGCCTCAGTTGCCCAGGTCGCCCACTTCACCTCGTGCGCCTCCCCCGCCTCCCGCACGCCCTACGGGGGATGACGAAGAGGAGGACGATGCTCCTCCTCCCCCTTCAACTTCCAGACGTAAGAACTCTTCGGCACGAATAAGCGTACTTGTGATCTAACAAGACAGCAGCTCTTTCGCAAGGCTCCGCTGGCCCTCCTCCTATCCCTGGAGGCAGACCAGCACCTCCTCCCGTTCCTGTCGAAGGTAGGTTCTGCTGTGGCAGTAGTACCGCGACCTTGACTGACTGAACCCATAGCCCGTCCTGTTCCTGCACCTCCTCCGGCATTGGCGTCGCAGAGCGAAGGCTCTGAATCCGGCGACGAGATGTCAGGTGCTCTTCACGATGCAACCAGATCGGATATCTCCGGGCCTGCGGCTAGATCCCCTCCGGTTGCTCCGACATCACCTATCTCGGCTCGTCCGCCGCCCATTGTCCCAATTTCTGGCGACGAGACTTCGTCGTCACCGCCCATGGCAATGGCGCCTCCGGCCCCAAGCAAGCGCAATAGCCGCCCGCCGCCGCCAATTCCTGGCGCAGCACCCGCGGTGCCCGCCGGCCAAACAAGACCTCCTCCTCCTCCGCCGCCTGGAGGTCCATTGAGCCGGCAGTCAACGCTAGACACGTCGTCTGCTGTTCCGCTTTCTTCTGGAAGACATGTGGAAGCTGATGACGAGGAAGTGACAGAGTACGAGGGAGATTACGACACAGACATTGCATCGTCCGCGCCGCACAAGGATGCCCTCAAGTCCCATGCGAGGGACTCGAGCATTGAAGATGTCACCCCAGTCAGGTCACCTGCGACCGATGCGCCTCCGCCCTCATTTCCACCACCCATTCCGACTGGTACTGCTCCCAGGGCGGTTCCTCCCCCGGTCCCAACACAAGCACCTCAAGCGCCCCCGCCTGTACCATCCCAGGCGCCGCAACCTCCTCCCGCAGACAAGCGCCGTTCCGTGGATGTCCCACGCGCCGCTCCGCCACCCCCGCCTCCTGGCAAGGAGGCAGCGACACCATCACACGATGAGGAATATGACCCCTACAACTACTCTGCGCCGCCAAGGACTAGCACCTATGGCCAGCGAACCCCGAAAATCGAAGAGGAGGCTTACTACCAGAGCCCTCCTCCTCTGCCTTCGCCCGGCCCCCAGACGAGGGCCCCGCCACCAGCACCGCCGGCCAACCGTGCTCCCGGTCGTCAATCTCTGGATGTGTCGAGGCCGTCTGTGAACATCAGGAGGTCCATAGACGCACACCGCCCGTCCATGGAATCTGGTTTCATTGCTAACGATATTGATCTCGCAACACAGAGTGGATGGTGGCGCCAGGCCAAGCAGGTTCCGCCAGTGCTTCAAGGCCGGCGCGACTTGTACTACGAGTCGGACGAGACGACTTCGAACCACCAAGGCGCAACGATTGTCACTCGTACCATCTACGTTCTGTTCCAGGACTATTCACAGACAATCATCACAGTGGCCTTTGACCCCAACGACCAGTCGGATGTCGAGGCAGAACAGCGTCATGAACCTCCTCCGCGAGCGCTGCGCCAGGACCAGCTCGAGCAGGCGTACGAGCGATACGGCCGCGTGATCGCCAACGCCGTCACGTCTAAGAAGGACTCTGTCATTGGCGATGGCACCCCTCAGGCCTTAGTTCACGAGCTTCTTCGCCCATTCCAGGACGTTTTGTTACCTGTGGGCACCCGTGGATACGGTGCGCTGGTATACTCAAACCTTGCCAACGCGTCCACGCAGCAATTTGATGAAATCAGGGCCGGTGATATCGTCTCGATCCGCAACGCCAAGTTCCAGGGCAAGCACGGCCCAATGCACGCAAAGTACACAGCTGAGGTCGGCAAGCCGGACCACGTGGGTGTTGTGGCCGAGTGGGACGGAACGAAGAAGAAGGTTCGCGCTTGGGAGCAAGGGCGGGAGAACAAGAAGGTCAAGATGGAAAGCTTCAAGCTTGATGACCTACGCAGCGGCGAGGTCAAGGTCTGGCGCGTGATGCCGCGCAGCTGGGTTGGTTGGACGTAGATTCGACGAGCGTCTGGGCCTGTTTGTGGACTTTCTCTTGGAGCAATGGCGGAGTCGTATCGTTGACTTGCCCTTCGCTTTGTTCGTTTAGTGGCATCACTTGCTACAGCCCCGACTGACGTACGTAGTGGTTCGAGAACATGATGACTTCCTGGAGTTTCAGGCCGCTGTACCTACAACGCTTCACACCATGATGTATGTCTATGGCCTACCTGACCTGAGCACTTTGGAGTCGGTCTGCGGGGTAGATCTGTTCATGTCAGCTGGCGTGCGTGGCTGGAATGATGACATCGGACATGGACCAGCCTGCAATGCTCTCCTCTCGATCCCGCCTCAGCCACGGGGGGTAGGCAAGGGAGGGTACGTCCAAGAGGCGGCGACACGCCTCTGCAAAGCCGCCAGATGAGCATCCCCCGCAAAAGGGTATCGAATGGCCCTCGCGCCGGCGGTGTCCACGCCGCAGATAGATCTGCGACTCCTCCACGATCGTCACACTAGTCGACTCGGCCTAGAACCAGTCGGTGAGACGCCTGGACGGCGCGCCATGTCGATCTCTTGACCGGTACCAAGTCGCGAGTGGTTCTCGGCAACCCTTGATGTCTGGTAGGCCGAGCAGACACGCCAATAATCGCAAGGTCAGAGGGGACTTATCGCTCAAAGCCAAAAAAAAAAATCGATTGCTCAAGACGCTGTCCGAGAGGGTAAAATGATTCCACTGCGATGTGTTGACCGCCGGAGCAACCAGAAGCGTATAGTACTTTCACGTCTTCTATACTACCCTCCGTGGCCAAATATGCTTCTCATACCTAAATTCACCGCGTTGATGATCTTAGGTCTGACCCCTGACGGACGGCTTTGCGAGTGCACTGAACGCCATGCCGTTCATGTTACGTTTCTGCCTTCTTATCACTATGGCCTGATATACCTCTATCCATCTTATGTTGATCGCTGCAGGAAGATAGCGTTCTTCCGTGCATAAGCGGACGGCAGCGTCACGCGTGAAGTTTTCCAGCAGCACAGCATCCATCAATGCCCCGCACTGATATCATTGTACCTAGCTCTGGAATCTGTCGTTTGCTCCGCAGTTGATGTTTCTGTCCCAATACCAATGCATGCTACAAACCAAAATACCCAACTCATCTTTCTCTCCTGCAGTTCACGACGACAAATGAGGAGCTGCACATATGCCACGAAGGCTGGCGGCATGGGAACGCTTCCGTCACATCACCGGCCCAGTGCGAGGTACATCGACCGACCAAGCGACGGCATCTGTCAATACACAACGTACAACTGTGGAAGGTGAGGAGGAGTCTCAGCCGGCTGGCATCATCTACAGTGTCTCCGAGCGAAGGGTGTGAAGCGATGGTGTCACGCTCTTGCGGAGCCACAGAAACACAAACACCATCTCTTGAAATGGCGAGCTGAGCAGAAAATCTGGCCTTAGTTGTGTATCAATTCACAATGCAAGCAGAGCGGTTCTTTGCAGGATTTTGGTCTTCACAGTTATTTGACGTGTACCATCTCCCGCACATGCACTGATTGAACAGAAAGTTGAGCCCTGGGAGGACGTCTCTGTCGTGCCCTGGCCAATCGCGGGGTGCGGTGGTGACCATGTTGGAGCACGGAGTTTGTGGAGCAGTGCGTATGAGCTCCATGTCACACGACACGAGCCGGAAGTGCCTTCTGTCGATGGCCGGCGAGGTTCTAGGCCACGTGATACACGGTAAGACACAGCCGGACGGCATCGTCCGGATGCTTACTGACGTGCTAGGCATTGAAGATCCATGGGGAATGTGTGGTTACGACAGTGTGTGACAAGACAATCAGCGTCGAGGGCGGAACACCTGGTGTGGGTGGTGCAAGAGAAGCCATCACCAATAGAACAGCAGAAAAGCATGGGATCTGTTGACTGGTGCTGCGCGCAGTGGGTGACGACGCCGAAAAAAGTGTAGCCCATGTTCAGTCTGCACTTCGACCGGGTAGGCGATCGAAAGAGATGATTGTTGCCCGAACTACGCTGAGCATATGCAGCCCCCTGAGAGAGGAACAGGGAGCTCCCTGGGGCGTAGTACGACGTCCAGCAGAAGGGTCATCCCGAGGACCCGGCATCGCATGGACATCTAGTTGCCTATGCCGCCCCAGATATGCAGCCGCCCAACGGTTCGCAAAGTTGGGCCGCCAGAGGGCTTACACGGCGGAAGACTCAGATGTCTAGTGACAACATGACTGTGCCAGGACGTGCTGTGGTCCAACGAAAGATGGCGGGAGCTTGTGAGCCCTGTTTGGTATATGATCAGGTAGCCAGCCACAGTGTCCACCACGGCAGCGAGAGCACGTGGTGTATGAGAGGCTTTACAGAGGCGGGCGGCGGGCGGCGGGCGGCAGAGGCCCCTTTTGGGCCGGCGAATGAGAAGCTGACACGGCTGTGACCCAAGGCTCGATCGAGGGCGGCCTGCAGAGAACCTGTGGAAAGGGTGTGCAGGCCCAGTGGTGTCATTGCTGTGGTTTCCCGTCAGCGAAAAGGATTGCACATCGAGGGGCTCTCCGTAGGAAGGACACCAGTCCCAAGTGCCCGAAGTCCATGTCTGTCAAGGCAGGGCGAAACCTGCCCGAACCGATCAGAGTTTCGCATTGGTTCTCGATTCAGTTATCGTAGGGCCGTCAGAAGCACAGGATCACCAGGGGAATTGTAGGGTGTCCTCGATGGTACCGTGTCCGGATCCTCCGCAGCCCTTCATGGGACGTGGTCCATGTGATGTATCAACTGAGTCGTCGGACAAGCGGTACATTGCCCATGGCATAGAGGCCTTCGTCAAGTTCAATGTATTGTCGCCACCATTTGGTCGCTTGTGGGGGAAGGGGCAGCGTCGTGGAAACTCAGAGAAAAGAAAAGAAAAGAAACGAAAAGAAACGAAAAGAGGCCATCGTCATGTTGGCGGTGTGATGCAAGACTGGTTGTCTTCCTTCTCGTTTGCCTCTTCGCCCTGAAGAGGGCCAACTCTAACTCTCCAAATGAGGTCATGCCGCGTGCGCTGTGTCCTGCCGAAAGACATGTCAGCGTGTCTGTCTGTCTCAGAACGGCGGCTGCATCGTGCGCAATGCTGTACGAAATGTCTTGGATATCGGCTCAAAGACGTCAGATGGGGCATGTTTCTCTGTCGTATTCCGTTGACAGGCCCCGTGTGTGAAGGAGCCGATGGAGACGAAGGTCGTGGTGGAAGCTCGACATGATGGTTGGTTGGTGTGTGGATTGATGGGGGCAGGCAATGTAGGTAGGCCGCCAACACAGGGTCGGCTTGGGTCTCGACGACGACTGGTCTGACCTCAAGTAGCAGGGGCATAGGTACTTGCAGCAGGCGTGGGGGCCGCAGTTGGCAGATGTCCCGGGCCTGGATGGGAAGCCTGAAAGGGAAGCCTGGGAGGGAAGCTCGGGACGCGGGGGGGGAGGGGGGCCCTTGTCACCTCACTGTATGTACAGCCCAGCACGGTACCGTTAGTAGGTACGTAGACCCTTGAACATGCCACAACGGCACGCCCAACGCCTGATCTTTCCTCAGACCCCCCTGCTAAGGCCGGGCCCAGACGGAGTTGCAGGCTGAGGCAGGGGAGCCGTAGTCACCGCATGGTGGCTCCATCGACCATCGAATCGACCCGTCCATCCCATGTCTTTGCCGTATTGAGACTCTTTCGGGAGCTTCCTGAGGAACAGGTGCGAATGGACGGCGATCCTGCCCCCCCGGGCATCCCAAGCCCCTCGAATGATGCACGGCAGGCAGATGATGGTCTGGCTGCGGATGCTTAGGTAGCCCCAGGTGGCTTGTTGCCAGCAGAGTATAGGAAGTTCCCCTTCAGTCTGGGCCATTCTTGCCTTGTCGTTACCAAGTTTGTTCCATCCTCATCCACCCCATCAGGTGTTTTTCTCCCCAAAAAAGGACTCGGCACCTGAGATTAGGCCATGTCCGCTTGCCCTCCAAGCCCCCTTCACATCGGACCCTGTCTCTGCCAAACGATTTCCATCCGCCTCGGCCTGGCCTGAACCAGAAGACACTTATCTACCCGTGTCTGTTGCCTGCCTGCCAGCCTTTGTGCACCTTCGGTCTGTCCTGAGTGCCCAGCATACAACAACTGCATCATTCCCACCACCACCACCACCACCACCACCACCACCGCTACCGATTCTTCAGGAACAAGCACTACATTACTATATCTCTTCACACTCGAACACCAACCCATAAGCATTACCTGTGTCTACGCCTTCTTCCTCCTTGCTCCTCCTTCTTCCACACCGTACGCAGTGCATCACCAATCACCATGCCCAACTCATCCAGGAGACCAGAACCCCGGATTATCACCTACAGTCGGCCGCCTCGTGCCAGCACCGAGTCCTGCGACTCATACGAGACATATCACTCGGAAAGCACCGCGCCAACATCCATATACGCCAGCACCCAGGCCTCAGTCAAAGAAGCTGGCCCTGTTGCCAAATTTCAGCCAGTCTACGAAGAAGACATCTCGCCCTCAACCAGGTGCTGTCCTGGGGCCTCTGTCGACACTTTTGACTCGAGTCTCGCCTCCGAAAACGACTGTTGCCGGGAGATCGACCTGGAGAGCTACAATGACAAAGAAAGCCTCTCCTTGCCCGTCTACCATCAACGGCATCTGGTCGATTCCGGTATTCCACCGTCCAACGCCCAGGACTTCGCCAAACTCTTCCCTTCCATGGAAAGGCTTTCCATAAGGCATGATGATTCCACGCCAGACGGCAATCTCAACCTGCGGGTCGATACCGTCGTACCCGGTCGTCGCCGCCTCGCCATTCAGCTCTTCCATCTACGCATGCACGACCTAGCTAGGAGAGACTTCTCTTTGAGGCGATACTGCCGCGACTCGGGTCGTGAGATCTGCAGCTGCAAGCGGCAGTACGATCTTCCGTCTCATGAAGAGCGTCATGGCATGCAGCAATCCATGACCAATGCCTTTAAGGCTCTTGGCGGTCACCGAACGCTTTCGCATGCCAGTTCCGGCATCGCCTCTGCAGCCGGCAATGTGAGGCCACAGTCTGGTACCATGTCGCATGACGAGAGCCCAGTCCTTCACTCTTCCAATCACTCCCTGTTCTCCCAACACCAACCACAAAACGAACCCGTACCCACCAACACCATGAAGCTCGAATTCTCCAACTATGCCCGCGTCAACATATCTAGACGAGGTCATAGCGGTTCCAAGCGCTACGAATTCGAGTGGTGGGGACACAGCTATCAGTGGCGCCGCGTGCTCGACAGGAATCTCGGCGTCGTCTCCTTCCACCTCATTCAGGATGGCGTCTCGAACCGGCCTGTCGCTCACATTGTCCCCGAAACCCGTTCGCCAAACCAGGTTGAAAGCGACGAGCGCGCCGGCGACTGGGTACCTCCGTCTCACATGTGGATCAGCGATCAAAGTATCATTGACGCCGCGACCAACGTCGCCGATGTCGTCGTGGCCACAGGTCTCATTGCTCTTGTCGATGACTGCATCAAGCAGCGCTGGCAGCCGGGGAAGCATCAGCACCGCTTCAACCTGGGAGCGGCTTCCACTGCCGATCATGGCCCAAAAGCATTTGTTCAGTCTCTCTTCCATCGCCGCTCATCTGAGCCGCACGCCCAACCGAAGCGCCACAGGAGAACTGTGTCTATCTACTGAACTATTCCTCCCTGTTCAAAGGCATCATCAATCAACAGACCAGTGTTTTGATTGGGTTTTCATTATGTTTGTTTGCATATCTTCAATCATGTCATTTAGTAAGCGTGCAAGACGCTGATGTGTAATATATCAAAACCTATAGCCGCTGACAAGGACTGCGTCTTTGGAGTTATGCTTGTGGCGTTTGGGGAAGGGATTTCTGGTGACGAAGCTCTACAGGATCTGAGCCAGAAGCAATGCAGGGGAACTGTATCTGCAACGAAATTAATGATATGACGAGTGATGCCAGAATGAAGTCGCTTCCTGTTTTCATCATTCTCCCACAGCAGCAGAGGGGCGTCAAGCAGAATAAGCCACAGCGTTACAGTACCCGAGTACCAAAACAATCGTTGACATTCTGTGGATAATGACCCTGACCGCGTCCCGCAAACGCCGAAATATACGCCTGGAGCCGGAAACTGCCCCGCCGAGCTACCGGCTTTGAAAAGTAACTGGTCGCTAGACCACATCGCCAAAGACGCCCTTCCGACCGCCGAACCAACCGCCGAAATCAAGCTTCATCAGCAGCCTCTCGACGCCGCCGACGCGGCGGGGCGTGTACTCCCCTTCCTCGGCACCCCAGACGCCGTCCATTTCATCCGTGGCAGACCCGCCGTCGAGGCCCTCGGCAAATCCCGAGTCGGCCTCGAGGATCCTCAGCGCAGCAATGACGTCCTCGATGCCTGCCTTGACGCGCCCCTCGACGTCGCGGAGGGCGACGGCGACGCTCCTCTCCTCCGTCTCGAGGTCGACAAAGGCGTCGACGACGCCGGCGTCGGCTTCGAGATCCATGGACGTCCAGATGCTGTGCAGGCGGTGGACGAGGGCGACGAGGTGGTCCGTGCTGACGAGGAGCGTGAGGAGGGCGTCCGTGTACGGCGTCGACGTGAGGAGCAGGCGGTGGGAGAGGGCGAGGAGGTAGCGTGCGTGGGCTGTCGCGAGAGACTGCGGGTCGTGTTGCTGTTGCTGTTGCTGCTTTTGTTGCTGGGAAGGGGACGACGGGCTGGAAGCCGTGGAAGGCATGAGCCAAATGTCCTCCTCTTCGTCGTTGTCGTTTCCGGGTGCCGCGGCTCGGCTTGCTGATGTAGCGTGGCCTGCGCTGATGTCGCCGTGCTTTGCGTCGCTCGACGTGAGCCATTGGTGGAACCCGTCCCAGAGCCCGGCGACGACCTCGGTCTGGAGATAGGCCTCTGTTTCTGCGAGGAAGAATATGGCGGCGCTCGCTGTGACCCAGGTGCTGCGCATGGCATTGGAACGTGCCGTGTGGCGCTCGCGAAGCAATATCACTTTTGATCGACCACCGCGGGTACTGCCACCAGGCGGTCCGGGTGGTGCAGGATGATGCCGTCGAAGGCTTGTGATCTTCCACAAGTCCGTAAGGCGTATATGCGCCCGGCGGATAGACAGTAGATATGAATTGATGGTTGAGTAGATCTGTAGGTCGGACGGAGCCAGGAACATGTCGAGGGGCGAAGGGATCTGCATCGTCAGCACCACAGGCACTGAGAAGAGGAGGTTGCGGAAAGGGGTTGTTGCGAGCGACCGTGACCTCTGCGGTGCAGTGACCGATCCAACCTTGACGGGACTCGCCGGTTTGGACTTGGTGAGCTGCAAGCGCAGCAAGTCACGCCCCAGTTCGAGGCCTTCGTCTTCGTCTGCGTGCTGCCCTTGCATCAGCCCCATCGCCGCCCACGTCTTGGCCAGCACCGCTGTCACTTCGCCCTCTTTCAAAGCGAGGGTACCAAAGCCTTCTCGTTTGTCGTACGCGAGATTATCCGCTCGTTTCCATCGGCTCCGAAGCTTCTCATCTGCTTGTTGTGTCAGAGCCATGGCAAACTCACCCCGACCGAGAAGGAAGAATTCGCGCAGCAGGCGGAGGATCTCGACAACTCTGCTCAGAGGCAAGAGCTTTTGAAGCGTGGTCCTGGATAGGCTCACGCGGAGAGCGGTGATGGCTCTTGAGAAGCTCGCTGTGTTGAGCGGATAGGCCAGGCCCGAGAGCTCCCGGAGTTGTGATGAGAGGTGGTCAAGCCCCATGAGGCCCGAATCGACACTGCTCTTTACGCGGACATGGTTCAGTGATTTGCCGATGAATAACATGGAGGCTGCTGTCGTAGGCGTGACAAACTTGGGAAGCAGTGTTGGTGTGATAACAAAGTCATGATCGCCATCCTCCGCCAGCCGGACGAAGAAGTCGCCCTCGCCGTGACTCGGCAATCGGCCGTAAAGAATCCAGGCAGACACCTGCTTCAGCCACGCCGTCTCGGCAACCTTGACCAAAGTCAGAGCGGTCTGCTCAATGTCCATGTATCCGCTCTGCAGCTCAGTGCGCAGTCGATCAATCAACTGCGCGCCGCAGCACTTTCCACCTTTGTGCTTGCCCAGAATAAACTGGACTACCTCTCTCAACCACTCCAGACGCCTGGTCCATCCTGAGAACTCCCCAATAACAGCGGTCAAGGGTACAATATTGTAGGCGCCCACTAGACTCGAATCATGCCGCAAGACCGTCTCTTCCACCTCCAGGACTTTGCGCTGAAAAGCAGCCAGATGAATCGACTCAATTGCCGTTGCAACGGCCCGGCATATAGTCGAGGGATGTTCTGCCGAAATCTGGGCCGAGTGGCCCAGGAGCTTGATGTTCAAGTCGCTGAGGTGTGCGGCGGTGGCGAGAAGTTCGCGTTCGGGGGGCGAGATGGCGGCAAAAGCGGTGGATTGAACGCCATCGGTTCGCAGGAGTGGTGAAGGGTGCCCGGACAAGGACAGGAGGATTTCGTGCAGCATAATTGGACCGGCGCACTACGATTGCAATCAGGTCATTGTTGGGGCGAAGGAGGTACGGAGCAGAGTGACATACGAGGCACGCGGCGGCAGCGTCGTTTCAGCTGGCCTCTTGGACCGACTCGAAGTAGCTAGATCGTGTATGAGAAGAATGATACTGCCAAAGATCTCGAAGCGGCACATTGAGCACGATCGTTTGTCGTGTAGCTGCCAGATGGTACCCCCAGCCAAAATCCTGGTGGGGGTGGTCTCGTTCGGAGATGCTCTGTCCTACTCTTTAAACGACAAGCGAGAGGCGTGGAAGTGTTAGCTGGAGCGAAACTCTACAACAGACACATGCCGCGCGTCGCTCGAGGGACTTGTCTACCGTAGTGGTGAAGGTGAAGTGACCTGTTGACCACAATCGCGACCAGACGCGACTCTGACGTTGCTGCCCGATAAGCACGATGGCGGGTTGAAATCACTTATCGCAGGTAGACACGCCCCACCCGCTTCGCCTGCCATCTTCAATGCACCGGCGAAAGTATCACATGCCTGACAACCGTTTCCTGATCATGGTTGAAAAGAGTTTAAGATGCTGTTCATTTGTATTCATTGCTGTTTGTAATCGTAGGTCTACTGGCCGCAGGAAAGCAAAAACACAGGCATGGGCATCTATCAACACCGTAAGCATCAAGGCTCTGCCGCCCCCCTTCAGATGGGCTTCTTGCCCTTGCTGCTGCCACCTTCATAAGCAGTGTGAATGCTCGCGGCCCCGCTGATGTTCGTGTTGCTGTTGTTCCTCTCCAGTGTGCCTGGGGAGACAGTGCCACCGTCGCCGCCGCCCACAATGATCTGACCACCTCCGTTGCCCACCTTGCCGACTACCATGCCCTTCGCCACACTCTTCAGAATGGCTCGCCGGGAGACGCCGGTGACATCAATGTAGACAAGACCAACATTCTTGAAGCCACCACCAATGTTCCGCGAGGCCTGACCGGCCTCAGAGCCCCACCGGTGCTCGACCACCTGTGAAACACTCGAGGCAGTACCACCCAGAAGGTTCTTGCCGGCTTGCTCGATACCATCGGCCACGGTGTTGAAGGCCATAAGACTCTTGTTCAGCAGCCCAGGTTTGTAAGACTCGACTACGTGACCGTCCTTGTCATAGCCTCTACCGCTTCCGTCCTTCTTCCTACTAAGGGAAGCACCGAAGTTCTGCGCGTACCTTCCAATGTGAGTGACCGTCGTTGCCGACAGACCGGCAGCCTTTGACGAGAAGGTGTTGATTCTACGAATTCGGTCGTGTGCTGCGGGCGTGAACGTGACAGGTTTTGACACAGGCTTGGTCTTCTGCGAAAAGGTGTCGGCGCCGCTCTGCAAGCCCTTGGCGATGAGATCGGATGATGTAACGATCAGTCTGGATGCCTTCGAAGCGTTGTTCACGAGGAATGACCTCTTGTACGAAGGATGCATCACCATCTCGACATACTCCTGGGATGCTGGCTGTACCTTGACAGCCTGGGTGCTATCAGAGGGAAGTGTGATTTCGACAGGATCTGCGCCATTCTTGTAATCAGTCAAGTGTCTTTACCTCAAGCTGAACAACGAGGGGCTCGACCACGTACCTTTGGATCCGTGCTTGATACCGCTGTCATCGACTTGATATCCCTCGGTCAACTCGCCAATGACACTACCATCTTCCTCGTCGACCAGGACAATCCTGCCACCCGGATGCAGGCTGTGGCTACCTTGCGCGTAAGCCTGGCCTGGTTCATAGTCCGCGGGGTTGTATGCAGGCAGTGGCTCGGATCCAGAAGCCCCCGATAGATCCTTCTCTGCAGCCCTGGTTGTAGAGACAGGAGGAATATCAGCCTTGGCTGCCTTCTTCGGAGGCGGAGAGCGTTCGAGAAAGGCAGTACATTGGGCCAGGATGGTCTCAAAAGTGTCGACATCCTCCTGAAGACCTTGACGGCTGCCCGTGTCCGGAAACTCAAGGCGGGTAAAGGCACCGCTGTCGGGGCCCAAGTCCCAACGGGGGATGAGGTAGCTTCTGGGAGGTTGGTGATAGATCTGGGTAGTGGCTGGCAGAGGAAGATCGAGCTCGGGTGGGAGGTGTAGGTGCAAGTAGAAGTCTTCGGGTGGAGTGTTTGTGCCAGTGGTGCCGGAGGCGTCTGCGAACGGTGACGAAGTCGGCACCATTAAGAGGGAGAGGGTCTGAGGGCCAGCGGGCGTCAGAGACTCTTCCACGCCATTGGAAATGTGGTAAGCCTGGACGCCATTGATGGCGTACAGAAGCTTAGGGTCCTGCAAGCAAATCCGTGAGCAGATCGATCGATATGATGGGCGACATCGGCTGTAAGCCGCAGGGTAACAGGCATGTCATACATTATGTCCCGAAGACATGTTCAAGTCCGCGTATGGAGGATGCGCCAAGCCAACAAAGGTAGGTAGTTGACGAGGTGCAGGATTTCGATTGTCTTGCAGTATTGAGCGCTGGGTTGACTGCTGGATTGAGGGGCGGAGCAGCGTGGGGGAAGTGCAGGACTGCGATGAAGGATGAAAGTTGATGGTTCGAAGTTGGGATTCGTTCCTGACAGATGCCTGAATGAAAACTTGGCCCTGAATTTGCAGATTCGTAGCTGTGAGTAGGAAATATCAGATCGTCTCCTCCGCCCCTCCTTCGTCACAGCAGGGCGCTGGAACTGTGACGGGGTTGGTCATTGAAACGGTGCCATGTCGGAGGCGCTTAAGCATGGGCGCGAGAGGCCTCTCTGAATCTCCAGATGCGACGTCATTGGTGCTGCCATTCTTGGATCCATGTCGTTGGTGACAGCACAGCCACTGACCGCCCCAGTTGAGCTCGAAGCTTGTCTGCCCCTGGACTGATCGCCGACAATGAGATCTCCAAGACTGCGTGAAACGTTTGGCTGCACGTGAAGGAACTTTTGCCATTTGGTACGATGGCCAGGAATATGTAGACCTTCATTAACCGTGCTGGACCACTATTGTTGAAAAAATATATATCCTGGTCCATCGCCCTTTCCGCACGGAGGACCAACACCCCACTGCTTACCTGAGCGAACCGATGTGGCTTGCTATTGAACATGGTGACCTGATGATTTCTCCCATTGAAAGCCAATATTGCTCCCAGCACCAATGTCTGATATATTGAGGTGCCGAGCTCCCTTTATGCGCCATGATCCATGAATATCCGAATTATTCAAGTGACCACGCCGCAGGCCGACTAAGTCGAATCGAATGGCAAGAACGGACGCAGAAGGACCTTCGCGTGTGCGGTCCAGTACAGCTTGCTTACGCTGCAGGAGGTCCAAGATCAAGTGCGACAATACAGGCCAGCTTGATGCTGCCTGTAGGAATTGCATCAAAGCAGGTCAGCGCTGCCAATGGCCAGACCCATCTGTAGTGCCACCAAAACGGACAGATGCGCCGTCAAGTATACGCCAATATCGGGAGTCGGGTCGAGGAAGAAAACGTCCCAGAATAACCCCGGCCAATGCTCAAAGCGATGGTCAGCAGAACGCCGAAGATATTCTCTCGGCGCCTTTTCTTGACAGGCATGTATGGGATCAGATACTGGCCACCTATAAGCTCCATTTCGCAACAGAGCTACCTTTCCTACACATTCCCACACTAAAGGACAAGATCTACCAGTGTCGGAGAGATCCAGCCACGGGTTCGTCAGAGCTGAATCTGGTACTGCTCGGAATTCTCGCCCTGACAGCGAGATACCACGACGAACTTGTTAAGTATGTTCATCGTCTCTCCCACGACAAGCACATGAGTGCAACCACCGACGACCAGGCCCGATATTGTGTAGCTCCAGACCTCTTGCCGCATGACACTCAGCCCGGGGCAAGACCGCGTGGAGGGCAATCCAGACCAGCAGCTGCCGCTGCCTCAGAATTCTTCGCCGACATTCTCGACAAAGCCTTGGGATCTTGCAGACTGGCCATGACAAGAGCAACCGTGGAGCGCGTTCAGGCATTCTTGATGCTGGGTCTATACCAGTGGATATCACGAGACCATCAGGGCTTAGGGTCTTGGATGTACGTTGGCATGGCCATACGCATGGCGCAAGCGCTCAAACTTGGGGTTGGAGACGTGGCTCAGTCCTTATCATCTTCCCCGTTGGCCGAGAAGATACTTATTGATGGAGAAGTGAGGCGGCGAACAATGTCCAGCTGCTTCATACTCGATCGTATACTATCGTGCGGAAAAGATAGAACTTCTTGCATACGCTCGGAAGACCTGCGTATTCAGCTGCCCTGTTCCGAGGAAGATTTCGATTTGACTCGACAAGTCTATACCGGCTTTCTCCGGGGCTCGCTTGTCTCCGTTGTAGCCAACCGCCCAGACAGCCCCAACATACTCAGCAGTTTTGTACAGCTCATTGACATATGGGGAGAGATCTCGCACTACAGCAACGCCGGCGGCCGCTTCTCCGAGGAACAAAACGTTGCTCCATGGGAAGCGCAAGCGAAATTTTCAAGACTCTCTCGGAAGCTCGTTGACTTCAACACAAAGTTGCAAATGACTGACAGCTCTCTCGGGTTCACACTCTCTCGGAAAAATTATTTCAAACATGACAGTCGGCAAGGCTCCAGTGCATTTGTTTCGCTGCACATGCTTATGTGTCTCTCAAAGATCATGCTTCATCGCGAATATATCCCGTTCATTCCCGTCAGGTGCGGAAGACCCAACGGGCCGTTGGACGAGCCGACTTTTGCTCCAGACATCACTCCGCCAGGCTTCTGGGCCAGCAGTGCCAACGAGCTCTTCCATGCTGCAGCTGAGATCTGTGATCTGATAGAAATATGCGGCGAAAGATTGCCACACTCGTCACTTGTGGTGTTTGCCATCTGGCATGCTGCTTACGTCGGGCTGTATGCTCGTCATTTCCCCCAAATGGATGTAAACAGGTCCATGGTCGGTATCGAAGTCGGTCAGAGAGACGGCTATGCAGTCGCTGGTACCAACGAACTAGGCGAAAGCACCAAAGCAGCCTTGGACTCTCTTCACCGACTAGCTCGACATTCAAATCTTGCCGCCGAGTATGCCTTGAGGTTCAAGGAAGCTGATGAGTTCTACGCTAGAATTATCGACGATCATAATCGAAACCACGACTTGGACCGGGCTCTAGGTGCACGAGAAACAGGCCCGAGAACACGTAGTGTTCGAATGGGTGGCAATGGAGGCGGCGTTGAGGAATGGCATAAGAGGAAGGACTATCTCACCAACAATGGTTCCATCATTGGAGATGACCGCTGCCGAGATAATGACGTGACAGATCAAGCACAAACGCCGCTATCGGACCACGTTCCACCTGGCAAAGAACACTCGCGAGGCCTGGAGCTGGATTTGACGGCGGCTGGTGCAACACCTGCTGGCATGCAAAGATCACTTCGAGCCGAGTTAGCAAGCACGGGTCGGTTAAGCCATACACCCCACGACTATGGCGCTGCGTCAAGGCGTGGGAATGGTTCAAACGACAATCAGCAATCCAGCGTGCCGGACCATTCGCACTTTGACAGCCCGTCAGTGTATGACTTGACAGCGACGGATCACTATACAGGGCTCGATGCCGAGCTCGTCGCAGACATTGAGGGGAAGCCCTTCGGGTTCGGTTATTTGGACCAGAGCGTTTTCGTGGGAGGATTCGATGAGTTCTCCCCTGGCGGATGGGAGGCCCCGTCACAGGAGGTATCCAGACTACTGTTCCCTCTTACGGAAGAAGACGCATGAGCATGAAGGGATATGTCTGCAAGGAATATGGCTGCCAAGCAGCGTTTGTGTCCACGGTCAAGTGCCCCCCACGTGCGTCGGCCTTGGGATCAGATTCCTGCACCTTGTCGTCTGTTTGGTCGCATCGGGCTTTAGGGGCTGGTCAGACATGCTATGCTCCGAGTGATGCGAGGAACAGCAGCAGCAGCAGCAGCAGCAGCAGCAGCAGCTCAGCCAACAGGGACAGTCCAGTACGGAGCAAGCCCCGCGAGGTGCAGCTAGGAGGATGGCGGGCGCACAGATTCAGGGCGGTTGAGTGCTCGAGACGCTGGTTGAGTAGGTGAGGGGCAAGCGCAGCTACCCCGCAGTTTACGGGTATCGGAGGCGTTAGGCAGTGGAGGCGTGACGTTACGAAGGCCTCATACCCGCTGTCATGACCACTACAATCAGGGACAAATTGGTCATGGTTTCTTGGTTGCATGCACGATCGCGAGGGCCGCATCTCGGTCTCATCGCAGCATGGGTTCTCACCAGAGACGAGCAACGAGGGAACAACGAACGAGTGATGACAGCTATGGATCCAAAAACGGCCTTAGCACTGATCGCACAACACAGGCCCTTCAAATTGCGAGCTCTGCAACAGGATTGATCACCAAGCTTCGGGCAAATCACCATTCGAGCTGGCGGCATCACCGAGTTGACGGTCCAGCCGAGCTTACTCACCCTCAGGGTTGACAGTTCAGCGCAGAGGACGCTCTGCCGGACTTCCCCCTGCCATGATGCCGAGAGGCTCGTCAATGGGTCGAGTTCACGGTACCTACCTACCTACCTACCTACCTACCTACGGCTGCTACTCAGACAGGGATCTGCAATTCCCCCTACCGCCGACGTAATGACATGTCCAGCCCCAGCTCCAGCACCGGGCTTCAGTACCTATACCTCCACGCCCTTCTGTCTCCCTCGAAACGGGCATGGTGCATCGACGCGTGTGTGAGGTCCACGGGGACTAGCACCGTTATTAATCCCCCTTCATGACCCGCGTTCCACCCACATCTTTCACGTACTGGCCTTCCAAGATGGCCAATGTGTCCTCTGTATTCGGAGTTCATCGCCCATCAGCATGCAGCTCGTCGTAGCTTCCACTGTGCAGGTGGGGCGCGGGGGGGGGGTCGACCATCTGATTCTGAACCGCATCCTGATTAGCCATCGTCTTTGGGCCTCCCACGCAGCAACGTACTCCCTTTCCCCTTGGTGCGGATCCCAAGGCAAAGAAAGGTATGCATGGCACGAGAACAAGGACAGACGCGCGAGTTTTGCGCAGCGCAGAGCCACTGCCGCGACCATTCCCCCTGCACGCTGTGCCACGGTCCATGAATGGTGTTTAGCTGAGCAAGCGGGCCATGCGACAAAGCAGATACCGAGGCGTCCGATGTCTCCACGCCGCTCATGACCTCGTACCTACGTAACTGGGTCAGCCCTTCGCCTAGCTCAGGCTTCCAGTCCGTCCCAGCCTAGGTGCTGGTACCATTCCATATTGGCATCGATGTATCTATACATCGCGTCGTGCCTTTTCCCACTGTGGGATATAGAAGGTGCACCCTGTTTATTATTAGTTGTAGGTGGAGGTACGTACAAGCGAAGGTTCGTTCTCAACCCTGGCAACTGGTCAGGAATACTAGCTCTACAAGTGTTCGATATAAGACCCAGCCGCCACCTCCCCTTCCCTCCCGTGTGCCGTTGTTTCCATCCTCCGATCGTCAAGACGGCTAGTCTTCACGGTTCCTTATTCGTCTGGCAGTCAAGTTTGCTTCATCTCTCGTCTTCTTGTCGCCCCTTCTGAGCCCTTCTTCGTGCCACCATGCCGGCCACAACATCGCTCGAGCATGACCAAGCCCTTGGCTGCAAGGCAGCCCAGAAGGCAGCGTCCGAACTTGACATTATCGATGTGCGGCGAGCTGCCGTCGAAGTCAATCTGAAGGACGACATTCTGTCCATGTGGAACCCCAAAGACGGCCCCAGGAAGCTGCCGACGTTGCTCCTCTACAACGAGAAGGGTCTGCAGCTGTTCGAGGATGTAGGCCATCGTTTCCACAGGACTTTTGTGGTCATATGGACACTAACTCTGTAGAGATCACGTATCTGGAGGAATACTACCTAACCAATAATGAGATCGAAGCTCTCACACAGTACTCTAAGCAGATTGCTGAGATGATTCCTTCTGATGCTATGGTCATAGAGCTGGGCAGTGGGTTCGTTCCCCCCCGCCCCCTCCCACTTCCCGCAAAAGCGGCCATTGTTCCTGACATTCGGGTTGAAGTAACCTGCGTAAGGTCTGCCTACTGTTGCAGGCATTCGAAAATGCCGGCAAGAACATTGACTATTATGCGCTCGATCTGTCTCGAGAAGAACTGGAGCGAACACTAGGCCAGGTGCCAGCGTTTCAACACGTAAAATGCCACGGATTGTGGGGTACTTATGACGATGGCCGTGAGTGGCTCAAGTCACCCTCACTCGCCTCGAGGTCCAAGTGCATCCTCAGCTTGGGCTCAAGCATCGGTTTGTTATCTTGCATCCATTCGAACCTGCAGCCTGAATGTTGACCCTATGCGCCAGGAAACTTTGATCAAGCCGATGCTGCCGATTTCCTCAGGAGTTTCGGCGACATTCTCCAACCGTCAGACACCATGCTCATTGGTTTGGACGGATGTGAAGATGCGGCCAAGGTCTAGTGCGTCGGTTCCCACTCCTCAGAAGGTTTGAATGACATACTGACAACCCTATTAGCCATGGTTATAATGGTGAGATGCCTAACTACTATTTTTGTGACTTGATCGACCCAGCGCATAGAAACTGACCTTCTCCATCACAGACAAGGAGGGCGTCACACACCAGTAAGCTTTCCTACCTTCGTAACCAAATAATCACAAACCTTTTCTTTCCATGGTCGAAGAGTCTTCTGACGCTCAACGCAGATTCCTCATGAATGCCCTGGCCAATGCAAATGAAATACTCGACGAGGAGGCATTCAAGCCAGACGACTGGCGTGCTGATGGCGAGTACATCTTTGACGATCAAGGTCGTCGACACCAGGCCTTTTACTATCCGGTTCGCGAAACAACCGCTTTGGGTGCCGTCGTCAGGCCGCACGAGCGTGTTCAGATCGAGCAGAGCCTCAAATACTCGCCACATGAGGCTAGAAAGCTGTGGCACTCTGCTGGCATGGCGGAGATTGCTCGGTGGCAGGCCAAGGAACATGGTCAGTGTGCAATGTGTTTCTTTCTTGTCCAACCTCAGCAGCCCGGGTGGGTGGTCAGATGAGAGAGGGGAGCCTGCTGTATGTGACCCAGGTCAGACAGCCCCCCACGTTGTCATGTGGTCATTGGGCATCAGCCGGAGGCCAGTCAATGTGGACGAGATCAGTGCCTCGCACTTTTGAGGCCTAGCCACGGGAGAGACCATGCGATCCCATGGAGCGATAGCTTACGGTTGCGGGGAAACCTGACGTGTTTGGCTGCCTTTCTCAGCTCCTGCATCTGATCCTATCGAACTCCTATCGTAAGACATATCACTGACCATACCGTTTCACAATCTAGGTCTACACTTGCTCATCAAACCAAGAATGCCTTTCAGCCTCGCACCTTCGGTATACGCCGCCACCCCGCTGCCGACTCTGGACCAATGGAGCACTCTTTGGAGTGCCTGGGACATTGTCACCAGGGGCATGCTTCCGAATGAAGAGCTCCACGACAAGCCCATCAAGCTTCGCAACGCCTGCATCTTCTACCTCGGCCATATTCCCACATTCTTGGACATTCAGTTGAACAAGACAACAAAGAAACAGCCCACGGAGCCAGCCTACTACATCTCCATCTTTGAGAGGGGCATCGATCCCGACGTAGACAACCCAGAACATTGCCACGCTCATTCCGAAGTTCCCGACGAATGGCCGGCTATTTCGGAAATCGTCGACTACCAGCAGAGAGTCCGCTCCCGGTTGCGGGGACTGTACTCCCATGGAGAGGTGCATATTCCGAGGGATGTTGCCCGAGCAATCTGGATAGGCTTCGAGCACGAGGTCATGCACATGGAAACATTGCTTTACATGATGCTCCAGAGCGACAAGACTCAGCCGCCTCCTCATACCGAAACGCCCAACTTCAAAGGCATGGCTGAAGAAGCGCGACAGGCCCGAGTGGCGAACGAGTGGCATGGTGTGCCTGCGCAGTCTGTTGTCATTGGGATGGATGATGATGAGAAAGTCCTCGACAACAAAGGGTATTTTGGATGGTGTGTGGCATAACATGAATTCTCGATCCTTGTACAGCATCTCACATATTCCAGGGACAACGAGAAACCGTCGAGACGAGTGAATGTTCACTCCTTTGAGGCCAAGAGCCGCGCCATCACTAACGAAGAGGTGGGTTTTGTCTCTGGCCTTTCCTGATTTGTCAACTGACCTGTTTCAGTATGCCAAGTATCTCTATGAGTGCCACATGGAAAAGCTGCCAGCGTCATGGGTATCGACTCAGCCAGCCAGCTCGGCGACCAACGGTAACGGCCTCACGAACGGCAACACGAATGGCCACGCCAACGGTCACACAAACGGCTACGCAAATGACCATGTCAACAGCCATTCTGGTAGTGAAACTTCACTGCCGACTCCATATGTGGATGGCATTGCCGTCCGCACTGTCTACGGGCCTGTGCCATTAAGTCAAGCCCTGGATTGGCCCGTCGCCGCTTCTTATGATGAGATTGCCGGGTGCGCTGCCTATATGGGAGGCAGGATCCCCACATATGAAGAAGCCAAGAGTATATACGCCTACGTCAACCGTCTCAAGCGCCGAGAGGCTGAACACAAACTCGGAAAGACGGTTCCCGCCGTCAACGGGTACGCCATGTTGCCTGCACCTAAGGTTTCGGGAGTGCTTGACTGACTTCCCCAACAGGCATCTCTCCAACAATGGCGTCCAGGAAACGCCCCCATCCGCCCCCCTCTCTGCTATTGATGGAGAGTCCGCTTCGGACCTCTTCGTCAATCTCGAGGGTACCAATGTTGGCTTTCAGCACTGGCACCCTACACCTGTGACGGCCGGTGGGGGCCGCCTTGCGGGACAGGCTGAGTTCGGCGGCCTGTGGGAGTGGACGAGCTCGCCGTTGAGGAAGCACGAAGGGTTTGAGCCGATGCAGCTCTACCCTGCCTACACAGGTGAGTGTTTCTCTATCTTGGCTGATAAAACGATCATTGAGCTGATGGTGGCACAGCCGACTTCTTTGACGACAAGCATAACATCATCCTCGGTGGATCTTGGGCGACGCACCCTCGAATTGCCGGACGATCGTCCTTGTGAGTTTGGCTCTTGCAAATGTTGGTCCTTGGCGAAGCGAGGCACAGGACTGACCCTCTTTAGTGTAAACTGGTACCAGAGGAACTACCTCTATGCATGGGCTGGCGCTCGCCTTGTCCGTGATGTGCAGACGAATGGCAACGCTGCTTAGGGAGTGGTGTCTCGTCTTGATGATTTTGTACACGAATGGGCACGGATTACGAGGGTACCTGGAGTGGGAGATCATCCAGATTGAAATGAGTAATGTGGCAGACGGAATTTTCCCATCACAGGTAAACGAGTGTGGTTTGGTACTTTCAGTGTGTTAGCTAGAAATAATCTGTGCCGTGAACCCTTGGTCCGCCACATACATGTCAGTATTTCGATGAGTAGCCTTCGCCGTTAGCTGAGGTCCCTTATCCTAGGTGGCAAGATCATGGACCGAGTGAACTACATCTTGACGGTGCAATAGTGATGGACCTCCATCGCCAGGTCTACACCTCGTCCCATACCGACAGCTGAGAAGCACCTCGCCGATATCCGTACTGGCACCCATGCATTGTAGGGACACATCCGTAGTCTCCAAGAGACATGCCCCATGAGCCCTGTCAGCCAATCGAGACCCCCTCACCACGGCACAAGCATCACGAGTCGCAAGCACGTCATACAGCAGCACTCCATAAGTCGTTGCTCTCTTTCAACACCACCCTACATACTGGAAAACAGCTTTGCGGCAAAGACAAAACCTGTCTTGCATGTGTCCCTGGCGGTATGCGCTGCAGCATGCCCAATTCGTCCCGTCTTGGGTATCATGAAATACGTCACCGGGAGTCCGCCGATGCCCGCCCTCCCCCCTTTCCCCTGGCTGCTTAGTGTCTCGTTTGCGGTTTGCTGCAATTGTTACCAAGAGGAAAGCCGGGACTCCCCTTGGCCGGCCCCACGCCCGAATTTCGTTTTGCGTCATCTGACCTGACTCTGCTGTCGCCTATTTTTCGATGCCATCGTATCCCGTTGCTAGCCGTGTGTCGCAGCCCTGCTCCGATGTGGGCTGCATGCAGGCACCGCTTGACCGACGGGTGTCTAGAAGGGGCCGATCTGCAGGAGCTGAGAATTCCCGTGTCTCGTCGTGCTGTGCTCACATAGAGCCACGCCAGAGAGACAGAGGGCGAGCACCCTTCTCTTGATCGACGGTTTGCCGATCAACCGTTGAGAGCGCCGTAAATCTCGAGCAGTTGCTCCAGCACGTACCCGGGGAGCTTGGGACCGTTTTCGGTGACGAGGTTCGTGATGTACTCGGGCGGTGTGTAGTCGACGGCATCAACGGGTACGTCGCTCTTGCGGTCGGTCTGAAAGTCGAGCACGGTCTGGTCGTAGCCGAGGTCCTTCTGGCCGAGGGGGAAATTGCGGACAAACTTGTGCGTCTCGGCCGTGACGTAAAAGGGGATGCGGGGCTTGTTCTCGCGGGCGAGCTTGGCGATCTGGTAGGTGCCGAGGCGTGAGATGATGCCGCCGCTCTGGGTGACGGCCTCGGCACCGACAAAGACCATGTGGACCGAGTTGCGTAGGGCCATGACGTGGGCGATGGCGAGCTCGGAGATTTCGGCGACGGGGATGCCGCGGGCGCGCAGGGCGGCGACGAAGCGGTCGCTCTCGTCGGGGCGGCGGGCCTCGCGCACGTAGACGACGCGAAAGTTGACGGCGTCGGCCGGGTACTGGGCGGCGGCGCGGAAGAGGAGCTTCTCGACGGCGCGCGACTCGCCCATGGTCAGGACCGTCTTGCCCTCGCGGACGAAGCGCCAACCGGCGTCGGCGATGCCGTCACGGGCGGCGATGGCGCGGTCGGCGAAGAGGCGGCCGTTGCGGACGAGGTGGCGGAGCACATCCTCGAAGCTCTGGTGGTGGGTGGTGCCGCCGCCGGGCGCTGCCGTCTGGCCCTCCTGCTGCTTAAGCGAGGAGACGAGGTACTGCAGGAAGAGGTCGGTGCCGGCCTGGAGCGGCACCGGGTTCTTGACCGAGGCGCGGAGGGTTTCTGAATGACGCTTGACCGTCTCGAGTGTCTCAAAGACGGTTGTATAGCTGCTGGCGGCGAGCAGGGCGACGAGGGCCTCGATGGCGGCGACAGGCTTGGTGAACTCGTGGTCGCGCAGATGGGAGTGGTACTCGGCGACGATGTCAAAGTCACCGCTCGCTGTCTTTTCTTGACTTCGGATGGGCAGGCTCTGTGTCTCGGCCGTGGGCTGGGAGGTTGTCGTCGTCGGCTGCTGCTCGCTCGCAGCGACTGCTATGGAAAAGGTCAGCCACACACGGCGTTGGTAGATCAGGGAAATGTAGCGAGCGAAGCATACGTGCGGAGTCTTCGGTCGCCATTGGGAGGAGCCCTTGATGAAATGATCAATGTGACAATGCCTCGGTGAGAGGTACGCAACGTTCTTTCGGCGATGGGTTTATCAAGCCACGGGCAGACACCTGATCCAGCTGGTTCGTCGTGGGAGATGGGTGACTCAAAATTACCTGAGATCGAAGACGTCGGTGTCGGGGCCTCGAGATTAACACAGGTACCCAGAAAGCTTGTGGTTCAGGTCGTTGCTCTCACAGGGTCTTAGTGTTCAATTCCAACCTGGACGGCCCCTCATTTGAGTGCTCGTTCTGCCCCTCACTAACCTGATTCATCGCAGTAGCGGGGTAGTCCAGTCGTGCCTGCCAACCCTGCCACTCTGCCTCATGCCTGCCACCCTGCCTGCTCTGTGCCTACCTGGGTACCCAAGGTGCCCCTTCTCCACCAAACTGAACACCGCTCGTTGCGACAGCCGGGCCCCTCCTTCGTATAGCTCGGTAGGTACCTCTCTAAGGTACCTCTCCAGGGAAACGCATTCGGCCGTTGCCCACGATGAGGCTCTCTCCTCTATCGTCAGAAGGACCTACGCCGACAACCCCGTCACCATGGAGCCAGCCATTGACATAGCCACGGGCCAGCCCCTGCCGCCCGACGCCATCCAGCGCATCCTCTTTCTCGCGCCCGCCATCCACGTCTACAACATCCCCCCGCTCACGAGCAACAAGGGCCACACAGCCGCCCACTGGACCGCCGACAACAACCAGCGCCTCATCTTCACCGCCCGCCTGCGCGTGCTCGAGACGGCGTGGGAGGACGACGCCTCGGCCGGCCGCGAGAAGATCAAGGTCGACATTGTCCTCGAGGACCCCGCCACCGGCCAGCTCTTCGCCGCCGCCCCCTACACCGCCCCCGCCGTCGTCGAGCCCGTCCTCGACAGCTCGCGCTTCTTCGCCCTGCAGGTTCGCGACCCCTCTGGCCGCAAGGCCCTCCTCGGCATCGGCTTCGAGGAGCGCAGTGACGCCTTTGACTTTGGCGTCGCCACCCAGGAGGCCCAGAAGAGCCTTGGTCTCGACGGCGGGCCCGGTGCCGGGGGCCGCAGCAGCAGCGGCCACACGAACTCGAGCACGCAGCCGGCGCCGGCGAAGGAGGAACAGAAGAGGGATCTCAGCCTGAAGGAGGGCGAGACCATCACCGTCAACCTTGGCGGCAAGTTCGGTCGCAGGCGGCCTCAGCAACAGCAAAACGACACAGCGCCTTCGGGCGGCGGCCTTTCATCCTTCTCGCTACCGCCGCCGCCTTCGGCTTCGAACGCTGGCTCACGGGGGAGTGGCCTGCTGCCACCGCCGCCGCCGAGCGCGTCGCAGCAGAGGGAGGAGAGGGAGAGGAAGAGACGGTCTGCACAGGACCTGGGCTTTGACGATGGCCAGTTTGGCGAATTTGCGTAGCGACCTTCTCAAGACAGTATTTCTACAAGCCATGGCGTGCTGTGGCGCGTCTTCGATTCGTGCCATGATTCGTGATGAAGCTTTTATACGAAGACTCTCATGACTCTCATGAGTCCCAAAAAGATCATGATATAGGTTACAGACTAAGCCTGGCTCGCTTCGAGCGTCTCCATTATGTGACAAACTGTGATGAGAGCTGCGCCGAACAGCTGGATACTAAGAGCCCCAAAAACATCAAAGTTCCGTATCATCCACATAATGAGGTTGCTCTGGTCTGTGCTACGCATTCCGTCCGTTGTCATCGAACGCTCCCTCGACCCCAGACCCAGGCCACACGCATCTTAGACCCGGCAGGCTCATTCTCCTCTCACGCCCACCTCTGCACGCCTTTGCCTCCTGCAACGTGGGAACAGCGTCTCCCAGTGTCTCCACACTCTCAAACTCAAACTCCAGGCCGCGATTCCCCAGTACATCTCCCAGGTCTGCTTTACCGAGCGATTCGAGAGCCAGTCCATCAGTGCCCAGCATGGCGAGAGGGGACACATCACAATCCGCCTCCGAGGTGCACCCATAACCTTGTTGACCCGGCCCGTTCGTCGGAAACAGAAATGGGACACCTGGGATAAATTCAGGCGACTTCGCATCCAGCTGCGCTCCCACCGAAGGCTCGGGAACCAGGAGAGGGGCGCACGTCGGCGTCAACACGATAGGCGTCAACAACCCGCTAACTGGCGACGCCATCGGCTCCCAGACGGCCCATGGCGTCGGCGTCCACGAGCTGGTTGCGTGCCGTTCCTGCTGCGCCTGCATCCAGCGCTGCCGCGTCTGCACCTCGACGAAGACCTCGCCCAACCTGCCCATAATGGCCTTCTCCTGCTCGGCTGCCCTGAGGAGTTTCGCCCTGAGCAGCGATGACTGTTTCTTCGACTTGCGGGACTGGTGACTGGGGCATTCGCCGTCCAGACTTTCCTGGAGGGTGGCAAGGCGTCTCATCAGCTCGCGCGACCGTTGTTCCTCCAATACGCGGGAGGCCAGGAGATAGGCCTGCTCGCCGTACAGCTGCTGAAAGGATCGAGGTGTGTCGAGAGCGGGCTGTCCGCTGAACGCCCGCGTGTCGATATGGACCTTGCTCGGGATGGATCTTCTCTGGCTACCACTCGTGACACTTCTTTTCAGAGAGGGTCGGAGTGGCGTCGTCGTCAGGCTGGGAACGCTTCTGCAGTTTGGACTGTTTGTCTGTATAGGGGCAGTAGAGTGGATCGATGACTTTTTCGCATGGAGTTTCGGGGGAGCCTCTGCGACACCACCAATAAGGGTAGCCACGGTGCTTGAAGTGGTCGACATCAGGGGCGAGTCCCTGCAAGCAGGTTCTAGGACCGATGGAGGAAGCAGCAGAGGACATTAGATCGGTGTGATGCAGGCCAGGAGATATATGAGCCGGGACATGCTCGTCTTGTCTGGTGCGTCTCGAGCGAGCAACAAAGGTTGGAAGGGCGTGGTGGTCAAAAGGTCGTGGGCCGCAAGCAAGTATTGGCCAGCTTTGTCCCTTCAAGTGACCATGACAAAGACGCGAGGAGCTGAAGTCGCAGCCCAGATGAGAGGCTAGAACCAGCAGGCCACCAATTATGGCGTGCGGTGAAAGCAGGCCAGCGGCGGGGTCATCTGTTATCTGCCATCAGAAATGGTACTGCTCACGGGTACAATATGAAGCCTCTGGGGTCTGAATAGCTAGCTCATTGAGTTGGGAAGGCGGGAGGTAAGAATCGCGCCAGCGTACTCCAATCAAACATGGTTCGTGTCGGTCGTGGGTTACACAAAGTAGTGTGACCCTTTGTTGCTCTCTCGCCGATCGTGGTGAACTTGTAGCCGGTCGGGATGCAACATGGTTCATACCAAGCTGTGGATTTCATACAGAGGAGCCTCTGAGCCGACTCGTCGCGTGCTCAGATGTTGAATCCATCGTGCTTAGGAGGATCACAAAAGCGCCACAGTCCGACAGCTTCAGCCGCACTGCGCAGGGATGTGACCTCTTGATCCGACACAGCTCGATTGATGTCGCCATAACGGAGTGTTTCGGCCGACACGTCGGACCCGGCTGCCTTGCCTCCCAGGCGTCGGCGCGGCTTTCCGACGTGAGCGTCCGGGTGGTACTGTTCCATGATGTTTACAAAGCAGTCCCTCGATACCTCCTCAGCGAGAAACTGCATAATACGCTTGCCCTCCTCTTCCTTCCCCGGCATGACCAAGTGGCGCACCAAGACACCTTTCTTGGCGATGCCGTCGGGTGTGAAGCAAAGGTCGCCTACCTGCGCGTGCATGGCCTTGATGCTCCCCCTCGCCGTCGAGGCGTAATCATCAGCCTTGAGCAGTCGCTTCGACGTTGCTTTCTCCCAGACCTTGAAATCGGGTAGATAGATATCGACCAAGCCGTCCATGAGCTCCAGCGACTCGAGTGAATCAAAGCTGGAGGTGTTGTAAATGATTGGCAACCGCAAACCGAGGTCGCGGGCGTGAAGGATGCTCAATGCCACCTGCGGGACAACATGTTCAGGTGTGACAAGGTTGATGTTGTGAACGCCTCCCACATCTTGCAGCTTCAGATACCACTCGCCCAGCTCTTCGGGTGTCAAGTCCTGGCCGTTCCGCTGGTGTGCAATGTCGTGGTTCTGACAGAAGACACATCGTAGGTTACACCCAGAAAAGAAGACGGCACCGCTGCCGTTGTGTCCCTGGATGCAGGGTTCTAGTTTAACGTGTCAGAGTATCTTTTGGCGGTTCGCATGCTGCCGACACAAGCAGCAGCGAATGTTATACACACCTTCTCCAAAGTGCGGCGCAATCACGTTCACCTTCGCCTTGTCACCAACCAAACAGTGCCCAGTGGTTTCGTAGCGATTAACGCCACAGAGCCGAGGGCAGAGATTGCAATTGCGAAGGTGGGCATATGCCTTGGAGCGTTTCATAGCGGCATCGATGGACGACAGCATCGCGTACCGAGGCACGTAGTCATCGAGGAGAAAGGGTGGCGCGAGATGGAGGCATCGATGTGCTCGAGGAATAGATCTTGACCATGGGGAAAGTCTGATCCTGGAACCTTTGAGATAATTCATGGCGAATGCTGATGATGCTGCACTCAACGTACATGCGTCGAAGGGGCATGTAACTGAGGGTGTACAGCGCGCTTCAGCAGTTGATCACCCACACCATATCAGATTAGAGGGGTGTACGCCCCTCTATCTGCACAATCAGGTCACCACTTAAGGCAGTTCGCGTCCATTGTGGTCGAACTCCATGCATCCAAATTGCTGGGTTCATACCAGCCTCCAGAGATGGCAGCGCAGCGACGTCGGGAAGAAACCAACACGAGACGCAGAAATGCTTGTTACCAGAGTCTCGAGAACGAACCGTACTGAATGTTAATCTACGCTGGAACGTTTCGATCGAGATTGAGTATCGCCGAATAGACCGTATGAACGCTTGCCCTCGTGCCGAACCTTGAGACTCTTACTATGATCCTGTCCATTGAGATGCACTGGCTGCATATGGGTGGACGGCTTTTTGCATATCAAGGCAGCAGTGGTACGATACTTAATGATTTCTGGGACACGAAGGCTGCGGTGGCAAGCACATAGGGTTGCGGACGATCCGTGCAGCTGCAGGGGTAAGGTTCAGATCCTGGATGATTTTTCACCTTGACCATTCGATTGTGAGCGACGTCGACAATGTTGACTGCCGCCGAGCACCGAGGCAGACCTGCATCACTTAGTTACCTAGCAAGCACTGTGCCCCCAAGCCTATCTGCATTCCTTCAAGTTGAATCCGAACTCCATGCTCGTCCGAGTAAATACACAAAGCGACGTAAACAAGACTTCTATCCTAGCTAGGACGTCTCCTCAGCCCACTGCTCGAGCCTCTCCACTAAATCAGCCTTTTTACCCGATATGCTAAGCCCTTTCATCGCGAGCAAGTCCTTCAGATCGGCAACAACCATCTTGGTGAGCGATCCAGCAGTGGCTGCCGCCCGAACCTGGGCATCTGTCATTCCAGAAGCCGATGGTTTTGTGGAGGAAGCCTTGACCTTCTTGGCTGGCTTGACATCGTCAGCGTCATCGTCCGCCTCGCGTTTGGTCTTGATCGTCTTGGCCGTCTTTTGGGTCTCCTCCTGAAGCGTCTCAGCCCAATCCTGCAGATAGCCACCGGAACGCTTGTTGATAGCCTTGTGCTTCGGCAAGGTCAGGTCTTCGGGCACTTCTGGTACTTCCTCCTCGAGCGCGAGCGCCTGTAAGATTTTGTAGTGCCACTGTAGGCCGGGGTTTGGGTATCGCATTGGATTGTACATGGCTTTGGGAAGCTGGAGTTGCTGGACGATAACCCGCATCTGGTCGACGAGCTCATTCGAGGCACGAGGGGGCTCAGTACCATCTGTAGCCGGACCTCCACGCAAGTCATCAGCAAAGGGAAGCGGGTAGAGCCAGAGACCTGCGGGAAGGAATGGTGTCGCATTGCTTTCCTCCGTACTCTCGTGAGATGGGATGATAGCGTTCAAGACTGGCGTCGCATTGGCGCGAATGATGCACCAGGCAATGGCAACCTTGTTGGACTTGAGCAGTTTCTGCCAGAGTGCCGAAAACACACGAGTAGAGCCAACAAAGTCTTCCTCGCTCGGGAAGATGAACGTTGACTTCTTCACGCTCGACCAAAATGGAATCTGGGCACGGCTCTTGAACCCGATGATACGGATGACGGGTGGTCCGAAATCTTTGGCACGCTTCTGGTCCTCTGGCGAGAAGTAGATGTACTCGCCGCCAAACTTGTACGCCTTCTTCGTCTCGGACTTCTCGACCGTGCGGGCAGTGTCTTCGGAGATGCGCGTGGTCTCACCCGCAACAATCTGCGGCTTCTCGCCCTCAAGCCAGACGTAGCAGCTTCTTGCTGGTTCTTGGTGGTGTAATATGTTGTAGCCTTTGATTGAGATCCTCAGACCAGGTGCTATTTCCAGAGGAACGCTTGAAAAGAGAGCACGCTTTGCCACCTGCTTTGAGTTGATGTTGGATATGAGAGAATTCAGGAGACTGAGTCCATCAGCCGTCTTCGAGTACCGCACCTCAGAATGGTTTGCTTCAGCATTCGCGTCGCGGTAGATGATGTCCTGCGCTTGTCAGCCACGCGCCCAACTCGACACCAGTGAAGGCACCAGCTCACATCGTAGAATTTAGCCAGATCAAACTCGTTATCTCCCCGAGTAATGGGGAACAACTCAATGTTGACTCCGAGGTCGTAGAGATCTTTGGCTCTGACCGCAGCAGCTGATTTGGCCGCCTTGTCTGAAGGGTGTGGACTGTCGTTATCTGTGAGTATGAACAGACGACGGCTGCTGTAGTTTGCCGCCTTGGTGGTAAAGATCTGATTGGCGCAGAAGAACACATTCGCCATTTGCACCTTTTCTGTAGAGGACGGTATCAAGACGCCCTCCTCATCCTCCTCATCCTCGACCAGGGCTTTAAGAGCTTTGACATCTTCGGCGGCAGGTATGTCAAGGTCAGTGTGAAGGTAACAGTGAGGGTAGCCTAGACCACTCCGTCCGCTGTGCTCCTGAAATTTCGACTTTTCAGTGCCAAAGAACAGAATTCCCATCATGTCTTTTGGACTGGCGATGATACGTTGTTGCATAAGTTGATACGCGCATTTCAGGGCTGCTTGAACAGCACTGTCCTTATCGGCCTTTCGTGATGTCGAAGCTGGCGGTTGCTCCAACATTGTATCGCTCACATCTATAGCCAAAATGATCGCGTCGTTTTGGCTTTTGTAGTCCTTGGATGGGTGAGCACTGATGCATGGGGTGAGACTGTGCCAGGACTTACATTCTCAACCTCCTCATCTGCTTCTTCATCTTCTTCCCTCCTGTAATCATCTCTGTCGGCCATCGCTACAAAAATCTGGTTATAGGAAGCAATGAAGGTTTTTGGAAGCGTTGATGGTGGTTGTGCAGAAAGAGGAAACAATCAATTGACCACACTTGATGGCTTAGAGGCCTCAGCTCATGGTGTCTATGGGACAAACTCCAGGCAGACGCGACCAGGTGTGAGGGCACGTGCCCGGGCTCCAGGAACAAACGCGCAGTCACGTGCCGGATTGGAACTGGATTACGTCCCTTGTGATTCGCTCGGCATTTGCAGAGGAGTCAGGTACTTTCAAGATGGTGCGCCCGTAGTCTTGTGGACAAGTACCGGGCTAAGACCTCGGAGCAGCATGGTTGCTGCGCTAGCGCTCCAATACGCATCATGATGCTTTCGTGGGATTAGTGGCCTCGAGAAAGTCAGACCATTCCACACTATTGTACAACACAAGCGAAACGTTATTACTCGTACAAAACGCGCGGCGCCGATCCCTGGAATCCCCTCGTTCAGCTTAACCCGAATTCCATTGTCTATTCAGGACCTGTACTGATCTTCCTCATCGACAATGGCAATGCGACGCTCAGCGGCGCAGCTCTCTAAGAGCTTGGCCAAGACACCGGCAGCCACGTCTTCTCGAAAGCTCATGCTCCCGAAGCACCTCGCAAGCCAATCGCGAAAGCTTGCGACGGTGCCACCAGTCACACAGGATGCGACGGGGTCGAAAGGCCCGACGGCCATGGTCTTTCTCAACATGGGCGGTCCTCAAACGACAGATGAAGTTGGAGACTTCTTGAGTCGACTCTTTGTAAGTCTATCCGTGGACGTGTCTTTCGATTGCCTAACTGAAGCCTCTATCTAGGCGGATGGCGATTTGATTCCCCTCGGTCGTTTCCAGAACTATGTTGGTCCTCTGATTTCGCAAAGACGGACGCCCAAGATTCAAAAACAATATGCTGAAATTGGCGGAGGCTCCCCCATCCGCAAGTGGTCCGAGTACCAGAACGAGGAGATGTGCAAGATTCTCGACAAAATCTCTCCCGAGACAGCACCGCACAAGCCTTACGTTGCGTTCCGATATGCCAACCCCTTGACAGAAGAAATGTACAACCGACTGCTGGACGACGGGTTTGGTCGTGGCAAGGGAGGTCGAGCTGTCGCATTCACTCAATACCCGCAATACTCTTGCTCGACCACAGGGAGCAGCATCAATGAGCTGTGGAAATGGAGACAAAGACTAGAGGGCAAGGATGCGGCCTCAGGCGTTCCTGGCGACGGTACCATCAACTGGAGTGTCATCGACCGATGGCCCGTTCACTCAGGTCTGGTAGAGGCGTTTGCGCAGAACATCGAGAAAAAGCTACTTGAGTACCCCGAAGAGCGTCGCAAGGACGCTGTCCTGCTCTTCTCCGCACACAGTCTGCCCATGTCTGTGGTCAACCGAGGCGACCCCTACCCGCCCGAGGTTGCCGCCACAGTCTACGCTGTCATGCAGCGGCTCAAGTTCTCAAACCCCTACCGTCTCTGCTGGCAGTCTCAAGTTGGCCCTTCGGCGTGGCTTGGCCCCCAGACTTCGGACACTGTTGAGGGCTATGTCCACAAGGGCCAGAAGGACCTCGTCCTTATTCCCATCGCCTTTACTTCTGACCATATCGAGACGCTGTATGAGATCGACAAGGAAGTTATCCCGGACTCCGGCTCTCCGGATACTGTGAAGCGTGTCGACAGTCTCAACGGCAGCCCGGTCTTCATCCGTGCGCTGGCCGATATTGCCAAGGCTCACCTTGACAGTGGCATTGCTTGTTCGCCGCAGATGGAGCTGAGATGCCCTGGCTGCAAGAGCGAACGCTGTGCGGAGTCTAAGAAGTTTTTCAGCTCCCAAGGTCGAGTGCTCGGAGCAGGAGATGTAGCTCTGTAAGCAAGGGGGTAAAAAGACAACGTGTATATGGATTGTATCAGTAGATGAGGTTACAGCGAGTCGGGTCTATTAGGGCTCGGGTATAGACAGCCATTTCCTGGCAGATTTCATTGTGTTAAGACAACCATCCTTCCTCGATTGCTGCCCCCGCGAATACAGGGGGCTATGGTCCCGTAGTGATTGATGCCATTCCCCCTCGCACCTTCACTTGTGTAGCCACCGCAATCTGGCTGTACATGAGAAGGAACTTTGGGTAGTACGTGTCACATTAATGCTAGAAAAGCGAATACTTGACTGGTCATGGTTGTAGTTGTGAGGTCGAACAGAACAATGTACCAGTTGAAGATTGACGGTTGTAGACCACTACTGTTGTTACAGTGCCCATCGACCAATAAACACAGTAGGCAATGGCCCTTCTGCAGCCAAAGCCAGGCGGCCGCATCAGTCCGTTGACGTATTGACAAACCTCCATTGAGTGGACCAACGACGCTTAGGCAAAACTGAACCCAAAGAACCCTGCCTCGGTCTTTCAATACAGTTGCATAGGACTAACTCCATGTTTGCCCTGAAATCTTCGACAGCACTGAGCAGTCGTGCTTTTTCTGGTGTCTCACGAGAAGCTATGAGTTCGCAGGACAAAATCTTCTTCGGAGCGTTTGAGGTTACACAACAGGTGAGCCAACTCAGCCCGAGGGCTCCAGTCAGTACTGTGTTGAACGCAACACTTACGAACGGCACCAGGTCTTTCTGAGAACGCCTCATTGCTTTGCCGTCGTCAACCTGAAGCCTCTTCTCCCTGGCCACGTCCTGGTCTGTCCACTCCGGCCGCATAAGCGCCTGACGGACCTCACAACACCTGAAGTGACGGACCTCTTCACGACGACGCAGCGCGTGCAGAAGATGCTGGCGCGGCACTACTTCAAGGCATCGTCAGATGGATCATCATCGCCGTCACATGCCCCGCCCGAGGCTGGGGCCTTCAACATTGCCCTCCAAGACGGTGCTGGCGCGGGCCAGACAGTGCCGCACGTTCATGTGCATATTCTGCCCCGGATTCCAGGTGAGACAAGCAAGGACCCGGGGCCCAAGGATGAGATCTATGAACAAATGACTAGCGAGGAGGGAAATGTTGGCGGCGCGCTATGGGATGCCGTGGTCCGGGAGAAAGGAGCCAGGCCACGTCCAGGGGGCGCGTTCCCTCACATTGACGATAGTGCAAGGAAACCGAGGAGCATGGAAGACATGGTGGCCGAGGCGGAGATCTATAAGAAAGCTCTGCAGGAGCTGTAGAAATCGTGTGAAGATAGAGCATTAGCTTAATTGGTCTGAAAAGGCAGCATTAGACCAACGACTTCGACCTTGTGCAAAGCAGTGTGCCGAATATGAAAGACACTGTGTGTCGTATCGGAAACCACTTACAGGGATTGGACTGGTCGCGTCAAGTCGCGTCGCGCGGCGCCGCGGGACACCTTTGAAGTGTCTTTCCCTTTCCTTGCCCCAGTCGAGCCAACACTGCCAATCCGAACCACCAAATAAGAGTCGAAATTGTTTACCTAGTAGCCTCAACACCTCGATTTTCGAAGAGCCCTTGGTCGCTCTGCAGAGACCAGATCTCAAGTACAGTCGTCGCCATGCTCACCGCGTCCTCTCCTATCCACTACCCAGCACCATCGTCCCCTCCCAATCCAAAAAGACCCCGTCCGGTACAAGATGCGGCTCCTCGACCAAAGGCCAAAATGCAGAGCGGTTTTCTGCTGGAAGACGATTCTGAAAGTTCGGAAGATGAAGGGGGCAAAGAACCACCATTGAAGAAAATCCTGACCGGCACCGCACTCCCATTTCCATCCTTCCAGCAACGATCATACACGCCGCAAGACGATTCGATACCTGTCGAAACAACACGAACCGGCGATCCAGCTTCAACACAGACGGTACCATTCATACCGCCACCGGACAGTCTCAACCTATACGATGGCTCTCAAGTTCCCGACCTGCTGCCTTTCGACGACCTGGGAATCTTGCAAAGCTCGAACCGGCGGACGTATACCATCCGCACCTCCACAGGCAAAGCCATGACCCTGCAGCAGCGTAAACCGAACGCAATTGACTCGTACGAGACAATTATAGCGGCGAGGACAAAGACCAAGGAGGGTCGGGCAAAACGAGGCTACTATGGCGTAGACATCAACGAGTTGAAGGATGCTGCTGCCTTGGAGATCTCGGAAGCTCGATCTCGTCCCAGGGTTCCCGAAAACATCGCCTCGGAGCCTCTTCCTTCAATTGAGGGGACTCAGATTGGGCACAAGAAACCTAAGAAATCCCTTCTATGGACCGAGAAGTACCGAGCACGGACATTCATGGACCTTTGCGGTGACGACAGCACGAATCGGACAGTGTTGCGGTGGTTGAAGCGCTGGGATCCTATCGTGTTTCCTGGCGCTACGAACAAGGCCCCAATCGTGCGTAGGCCAGCTGCAAAAGACGCCACCGTCGAGGAGAAACCACATCGCAAAATCCTGATGTTGACAGGCCCCCCTGGACTCGGCAAGACAACGTTAGCGCACGTCTGCGCGAGGCAGGCTGGGTACGAAGTCATGGAGATCAATGCCAGTGACGACAGGAGTCGCGATGTGGTGAAGAACCGCATCAGGACAAGCCTAGGCACTGAGAGTGTTCGAACAGTCGCCAACAGAAAGACCGGTAGCGATGGGCAGCAGGCCAAAGTCGCCCGCCCAGCTTGCGTCATCGTCGATGAGGTGGACGGAGCGGTGAGCGGATCTGGAGCCTCGGGGGAGGGTGGTTTCGTCAAGGCACTGATCGACCTCGTGCTCCTCGATCAGAAGAATTCGGGGGCTGCGGGCAGTACAAGCCACAAAAAGAAGAAGGGCGACGACTTCCGGTTGATGCGGCCCCTCATCTTGATTTGTAACGATGTGTATCACCCCTCTCTTCGGCCCCTTCGACAATCCGGTCTTGCAGAGGTCATACATGTCGGCAAGCCTACAATTGAGTCGGTCGTTACGCGGCTCAAGTCTGTATTCGACAAAGAGGGTGTTCCTTGCGACAAGGACGCCGCGAGGAAGATCTGCGAGGCCGCATGGGGTATGGCAACTGGCAATGATGCAAAGCGAGGCGCCCAGAGTGGTGCCGAGGGTGACTTGCGAGGTGTCATGGTGGTAGGTGAATGGGTTGCAGGACGTTATAGAGCTGCCGCAACAGAGAGCACCCCACGACTGACGCGGCAATGGCTCGACAAGCACGTCGTGCAAGAGCTCTCCAACGGAGCAGGCGGCGCCCGCGGCACGGGAAGAGGCAGCGCGAAAGACATTGTCGCACGGGTCTTCCAGGAAGGCGGTGGTTTTCCCAAGGCCGCTCTCGATACCTCGAAAACTGCAACAAACCAGCACGAACAACCCAAGGCGCAGCTCGGTTTTGCCGAGTATCAGAAGAAGCACTCCATGGAACGCCTTCAGCAAATGGTCAACACGAGCGGAGAAATTGACAAGATCGTCACAGACATCATGCTGGAGTACCCCAACCGGGAGTTCAACGACGACTCCTTCCTCTCGAAACCTAATGAGGCCTACGACTGGCTGCAGTTCCACGACGCATGTTCTTCGCGTCTCTTCGCGAGCCAGGACTGGGAGCTTGCGCCGTACCTTGGCCTGCCAGTCCTCGCCTGTCACAGCCTGTTCGCTTCGCCCAAACGACACGTCGTCGCCATGGGCTACGACAAGAAATGGGGCGGGGCGGCCGACGACGACGCGGCGACAGTGCCCTTCTCCGGCCCCAGGGCAGATTTTGAAGCTTACCAGGCCGAGAAGGAAAACCGTGCCATGCTCCAAGCGATCCAGGCGCAGCTCAGCCCAACGCTGATGCGGTCTTTTCGCAGCCCCGAGGACGTTGCCGCCGAGTTCCTCCCATACCTTGTCCGGCTCGTTTCCCCAGACGTCAAGCCCGTCGTCGTGGGCGGCGGTGGAGATCAGAAGGGCATTGCGAGCGTGCGCAAGGATGCGGAGAAGGCCATGGTCAAGCGCGCTGCGGAGATCATGGTGGACGTCGGCATCACTCTACAAAGGGGCAAAATTGAGACCGATTCTGCCTTTAACCGGACGCCGCAATGGGTCTATCGACTCGAGCCGTAAGTGTCCATCTGATCCGTACACCCAGGCCCCCTATACTCACAATGCACAGGGATCTCGATGCCTTGGCCGTCTACGAGACAGCCACCTCCGTCCTGTCCGTGCAGGCGCCTACGCGATATGCCGTCCGTCAGGTCCTCGACCAGGAGCTGCAGGCCAGCATTGTCCGCCGCGAGAACGAGGCGCGCCAGGCTCGCTTCCAGGGCGGAAACCCTCTTGGTCACGACGTGCCCTCGACCCGTGTGGAAAAGGAGGCTATCGAGCAAAAGCGCCTCAAGGTCCTGGCGCTCGCAGACCGGGTCAGGAAGGACTTTTTCGGGCGCGTCATTGAGGAGAAGCCGCTGCAGGAGGGGGAGGGAGAGGGGCATGGTGCTGGCAGGACGGCGCAGGATCAGCCGTTGAGGGTTTGGGTGTCATACAACGAAGGACTGAATAATGCTGTGAGGAAGCCGATTTCTTTGCAGGAGCTGATGAGGGGGATGTAGAGATGGATGCATGAGGGACATGGCTGCAGACAATACGAGAATCCAACCACATTCCTGTCATGCCTGGACCGAGGCAATTTCTGAGTCCATGACTTTTTTGCAGTAGGACTGCAGCATTCAGACGGCCCATCAGGGGCCTTCCGCCGTCCGAAGTCTCCCACGCGCGAGAGCAAAGGCAGGTTGTCTTACATGTTATGCATCTTCAAAATAGCTTACAACATGGCCTGTCTGTCTACTGTGTGAGACCATGAACAGAGAAATCTCGTGTAATGCAACCAACTCTGTCTCCCTGATCCAACGAACCAATCACCGTAAATGCACCCCTCTACCCGGTGATGTCACTTTCCGTGTATGCTGTAACCATAACGCCCGCGCTCCGCACCCTTGCACCGAATAAAAACACTTTCCCTCAACGTCAGGTGAAGTACGGTCAGATCACCCACTGGCTGCGACCTGCGACCCGACAGCAGACCTACCACGCTGCTCTTGCAGAAGAGGCTCGTCCTCCCCGGCAGGCTCTTCGTCATGCTTCAAGTAGACTGCACAATGCATTAGCAAAAGAAAAAAACGACGAATAAAAGACACGCGACTGGAGCATACCATGCGGCCTGACCAACCACGTGGCCAAGAAGGCGAGCAAGAACAGGCTAGCCAGCAGCGCAAAGATGGCCGTGTCGAAGCTGCCCACAGTCACGGCGTAGAGGCTGTTGAAGGCGATGGGCCCCACGATCCTCGACAGCGCCTGCAGCAGTCCGATGGCGCCCAGCAGCTGGCCGACCTGTTGAGAGGGCACGTGCTTCGTAAGGGTGGCCTGGACGGTGGCGCCGCCGAGTCCACCCATGGCGGTCAGCATGCCGGCGAAGACGAAGACGCCCTCGTGGCGGGCGAGCATGTAGCCCGTGCTGCCGAGAATGTCGGACACGAGGGCGGTGCGCAGCAGCCAAATGTCGAGCGTGTCGGCGCCCTGGTTGGCGTCGGGGACGGCCGTGCCGGTTGCGCGGGCGCGGCGTGCGTTGGGGCGGACGCGGAAGATGTAGTTGATGGCGGGGAGGATGGCGAGCAGGACGAACACGCGCACCCAGGACAGGAGCGAGATGAAACGCGAGCTCTCGACCGTGCCCCAGCCCCAGGTGTCGTCGGACTCGCAGTAGAGCAGGAGGACGGTGCCGATGCTCATGGCGACGCCCGCAATGATCATGTCGATGGTCGCGAGCGCCACCAGGTTCCTGCGCAGAGCGGGCGAGCTGCCGGCCTTGGTCGGCCAGAGGGCCTTGAGAGGCGCCAGGACGTTCGCCACGTGCAGAGGAGCAAGCCAGGTCCCGCGAGCGCTGTGATCGTCCTGCTTCTCGGCGTGCTCTTTTTGCGCGCGGAGTCGGCGCTGCTGGGACAGCGACTCGGGCACAACAAAGCCAACGAAGAAAAGGAAGAAGATGTGGCAGATTAACAGGGCATAGAACACGGAGAGGAGGGTGCCCGTTGCGGCCACAAGAAAGCCTGCGAGGAGGGGTCCGACGGCCAGGCCGGTGAAGAGACAGGCGTGGAGGCGACCGATGACCACGGCGCGTTTCGAGGGGGGCGTGCAGTCGCTCGCATAGGAGTTGCTGAGGATGCCGCCGGCGGTAAATGAACCTGTCAAGCCATCGCAGACGGCAGCAAGGATGAGCCAGTTGTAGTGGACTACATCTGGGTACTTGGCGCAGAGGATGGTGATGATCTCGGCACTGATGCCGCCAATGGACGCCAGGGCCAAGAACTTGGTTCGACCGTACCGGTCTGAGAGCTGGCCGAACTTGGGAGCAGTAAAGGCTGACAAGATACCGACGGTGAGGTTGATGGCCATGGTGAACACGGAAACACTCTTCTTCACTTCGGGTATAAAGCATTGCGGATTGTCGGCACCAAGAACCACAGGGATAAAGGTAAAGTTGGGGTCGAGCAAGGTTTCGTCTGCGAAGTGCTTGCGGCACACCAAATCGACGATACTAGGGGAAAGCCCTCGTCAGTACACGGGTCCATGCCACGGGACTGCCTGGATCTCCGGACTCACAGGTTGAGTTTCGGAACAATCATGCCACCAAAGGCCATGGCGAAAATGAAGAAGGGCACCAGCAGCCAAGTGACCTGACATGGGGCATCTGGTTAGAAGCTGGCTGCATATGAAGCTGGAGGGGCACCTCGTACAGATGGGACCTGCCACCAGGGAAGGCCGTCAAAATCGGCTGCTGCATCCCAACCTGCTGCCCTTGCGCCTTGTTCGTCATTGTCGCCGTCGATGCTGGGAAGGAAGGGACTCGTCGCGTTCAAGTTGTTTGCTGGGTTGAGTGGCGAGCCGAGGACGGGGTCTTGTTCATCAGCCACGACGGCTGCATACGTCTTGGGCGCCGGCATGGCGAGAAAGTGTTTGGAGAGACGGCGCTGAGTCCCGGTTGCAAGCTGCAAAGCACAGGGGCTTCGCCGAGGTTGGATAGATGGCAAATCGATAGGCGCGAATGTGATGTCCCACTTGGCCCGAATGGTACAGTGTGGAGGTGGGGGATGGGCAGGGTTAGTTTTGGTCCATTGCGCGCAACGAAACGGCAGATGGAGCACAATCCGAAAGGTGGGATTGAAAGGGGGGCCAGAGGGGTAGATAAGAAGAAGAAGAAGACGACGAGGGTATCAGGGCCTGGAGTGATGTGCCAAGTGTGGGGATGACATGGCAGTTGATCGCAGTGATGTGATGGCAACAACAAGAGGCGGCGACTAACGATGACGATGCAGTGCAGCCCCAGTTGTTCCAGGCGTTGACTCGCATGACCAAGCAGCATTCTCAGGGCAGAGAGAGTGGTATGAGCAGACAGGGATCATGGTCCGCCACGGAGTTTGCGGAGGGGGCTAATGCGCTGGCTGCACCTGACGCTCGTGCTTGTCGGCAGTAGGTAGGGAGGGGGGCACGTTGACGTTTATCCATGGGCGCTGTGTCTAGAATAGGTACGTCGGAGAAGCTTCCTGTCTTCTTGTCCAGCATCTGAGAGTCTACTCATCACATCTGATCTTTCAATTGTCACGTCGTACTCACCGTCGGGCTGTCGAAACTCTCTCTCTCTCTCTGGTGATACAAGGGTCAAAAAGCTGGAGAAATGTCACAAGGCGCAGCCAAGCTGGATGTGTATTTTCAGAGGGTAAATTGGGCGAGATACGCACCCTGACTCCAACAGAGACAACGCACGAGTACCGACTGGCTGGTCGATCCCAGGGCAGGAGGAAGGCTTATCTCCAAGCGCAAAGAGAGTACTGCGCCACCCATCGTCGATGGACGGCCGGCCAGCTCTCAGCCACAGCAGTCACACAGGACACAGGACTCAGGACTCAGGAAAAAAAAAACCGGAGCCCCTCCTCACCTTTCCGCAGTACGGTACTTGACTCATCCACCGATCTCGGGCACGCACTGGTTGGGGTCGATTCTGAGCCTCACCACCACACCCGCCTCTTTTCACCTCTCACCGTTCGATTTCCCGTTCCTAGCCCTTTTGAACTCCCCACCCTTCACCAGCGAGTCAATTGGATTGAGAAGCCCCCGAACCCATGATGTCTTCCACTTCCATGGCGGCGCGCACCGGCGCCCGCCAACTCCTTCGACGATCTGCGTCCGTGGCTCCTCCGAGCCCCAGCCCGATTGTCCTCGGCCGAAACCACAGCATCAACAACGCCCGTAACCTCTCGACGGCGAGGCCTCTGGCCGTCCCGTCGGCTCGTCTCCGCACGCCATCCACGCCGGTGCGCCAGCAACGACAGGGCTACGCTACCACCACGAACCCCAACCCCCCGCTCGACAAGAAGAATGCCTCGAATGACGTCCCGTCCCGCATCGCCCTGATCGGCGCCCGTGGATACACCGGTCAGGCTCTGATCGATCTCTTCGAAGCCCACCCCTACATGGACCTTCGCCATGTGTCGTCACGAGAGCTCGCCGGCAAGGAGCTTGAGCGATACACCAAGCGCAAGGTCATCTACGAACACCTGACGCCCGAGGATGCTGCGCAGCTCGACGCCAAGGGCGAGATCGACTGCTGGGTCATGGCCCTCCCCAACGGCGTGTGCAAGCCCTACGTGGATGCTATCAACGAATCGCAGAAGGGCAAGAGCGGCGGAAGCGTCATCGTCGACCTCTCTGCCGATTACCGCTTCGACAAGGAGTGGGCCTACGGACTGCCCGAGCTCACCAAGCGCTCCGACATCTTCCCGTCTACCCGCATCTCCAACCCCGGATGCTACGCCACGGCCGCCCAGCTCGGCATTGCGCCTCTGGTCGAGCACCTCGCCGGGGAGCCTGTCGTCTTTGGCGTTTCGGGCTACTCGGGCGCCGGCACGAAGCCGTCCCCCAAGAACGACGTCAACCTGCTGAAGGACAACCTCATTCCCTACAGTCTGACGGGCCACGTCCACGAGCGGGAGATCAGCCACCACCTCGGTACCTCGGTTGCTTTCATCCCCCACGTCGCCAGCTGGTTCCGTTCCATTCACCTCACCATCAACATCACGCTCAACAAGACCATGACCTCGCGCGACATCCGCCAGCTGTACCAGGACCGCTATGCCGGCGAGAAGCTCGTCAAGGTCGTGGGCGAGGCGCCCCTCGTGCGCTCCGTGTCCTCGCTGCACCACTGCGAGATTGGAGGCTTCGCCGTTGACAACACTGGCAAGCGTGTCGTCATGTAAGTTTTCTGGTGGCTCTCCACGTATGACCGTCATGCTGACCCTCCCAAGCTGCGTCTCCATGGACAACCTCAACAAGGGAGCTGCTACTCAGTGCCTGCGTGCGTACCCCCTCTCTGCGCATGCTATGAACCGATCCACTAATGAGATGCGTGACAGAGAACATGAACCTTGCGCTCGGTTACGCGGAGTACCAGGGCATCCCCAACGTGTAGAGGCACCACATGCAGGCGTCAAGTCAAGTAGACGGTTTTTGGTTTCGACGGGATCTGGCTCTGATATCCCCTCAAAAAGTTTGGCTCACCGTGGAGGAACTTTTGTTGTTGTTGTACATACTTCAGCGGTCTACCAATCATCTTCATCCACCCATTTCCCATTGGACACTCTCGGCCTCTCCTATTGATCCTGGTTGACATGGTGAAACGCACCCAAAATCTTGACATGTCACACTGGCAGGGTTGGCCTGGACCTTTACCATTGACTAAAATCCTCATGAAAGGCGGGAGAAAGCGAATGACGTGGGTCAACAGCGACAGTATGGTCTGCAGATGGAGCCTCAGCTAAGCGTCGATTCACAAATGCAGGTGAATCGTTTCATAACGGGTACACGTTCAATATGACTGTGACTGAGGACATGATCCTTTTCTGGCTGCCGTGGTCGTTGTTCGGCATTGTTTTGAAGTGAGATGGGTACCTCGAAGTGATCTAACGTACCTAGGTACGTCAGTGTGCCGCCCCACTTGGCACTTTAAGCGCATACTATGCATGGAGCCGGATCCGCACTCGTGGCCAGTATACATGCATCTAAAGCATGTAAGCCGCCAGCGCGGGACAGTAGGGGTACCTTACGTAACCCGTGTTCCATCATCACGTTCATCTTCATTTTCTGTCTGCTACGCCAGCATCAGGCTGGACAGCTCCCCCCTCTCTCATCATCACTCTGCTTTCCCACCGCCAAAATGCCCGTCGTCAAGGGAGGCGTCTGGACCAACATTGAGGATGAGATCCTCAAGGCCTCGGTCTCGAAATATGGCCTCAATCAATGGGCGCGCGTGTCGTCCCTGCTGGCGCGCAAGACGCCCAAGCAGTGCAAAGCGCGATGGAACGAATGGCTCGACCCCAGCATCAAGAAGATCGAATGGAGCAAGGAGGAGGACGAGAAGCTGCTGCACCTCGCCAAGCTCATGCCGACCCAGTGGCGCACCATCGCCCCCGTCGTCGGCCGCACCGCCAACCAGTGCCTCGAGCGCTACCAGAAGCTCCTCGACGAGGCCGAGGCCCGCGAGGGCGGCGGCCTGGGCCTGACGGGACCCGACGGCGCCGAGACGCAGGCCCCCTCTGCCGACGACGTGCGACGCTTGCGGCCCGGCGAGCTCGATCCGGACCCCGAGAACAAGCCGGCGCGGCCCGACACGATCGACCTCGACGAGGACGAGAAGGAGATGCTGAGCGAGGCGCGTGCGCGTCTCGCCAACACGCAGGGCAAGAAGGCCAAGCGCAAGGCCCGCGAGAGGCAGCAGGAGGAGTCGCGCCGTCTCGCCTCGCTGCAGAAGCGGCGCGAGCTCAAGACGGCCGGCATCAACATCAAGGTCGTCACGCGGAAGAAGGGCCAGATGGACTACAATGCCGACATTCCCTTTGAGAAAAAGGCCGTGCCGGGCTTCTACGATACCGCCGACGAGATTGTCGAGAATGAACGCGCGCGCGAGGCTTTCGACCCGCGGAAACAGCACCTGGCCAACAAGCGCAAAGGAGACGGCGACGACGACGGCGACAGCAAGAGGAGGAAGAAGGACAAGGACGGGGCGTCGGCGTCGCACCAGGCCGCCATGAAGGCGGGGCAGCAGCAGAAGATCAGAGAGGCGGAGCAGAGCAGCAAGAGGCGGGCACTCAACCTGCCTGCCCCGCAGGTCAGCGACGGCGAGCTCGAGGATATCGTCAAGATGGGTATGATGGGTGAGCGCGCCAGCAGCCTGGCCCGACAAGCCGAGAACGACTCGACGCGCGGCCTCGTCAGCGAATATTCGACGCTCAACAACGGCACGCCCATCCGCACACCTCGTGCGCCTGCGCAAGAAGACCACATCGCCAACGAGCTCCGAAATATTCGCGCCCTGACAAACACACAATCGTCTCTGCTGGGCGGGGAGAATACGCCTCTACACGAGGGCGCCCAGTCGACAGGCTTTGACGGCATTGCGCCGCGGAAGCACGTGGTATCCACGCCCAACCCCTTGGCCACACCCTTGCGAGCTGGCGCAAACGGCGTGGGAGCAACGCCGGGCCGGCCAGGGCAGACGCCCATGCGAACGCCTCGGGACAGCTTTGCCCTCAACGAGGACGGGACTTCGCAGGTCGGTGCCACCCCCCGCGATGTAAAGATGCGCGAGCTGGCCGTACGCAACCACCTGAAGCAAGGTCTCGCATCTCTGCCGAAGCCGAAGGATGTCGAGTGGGAGCTCGAGCTTCCCGAGGAACAGCAAGAGGTCGTCAAGACGGACGACGAGCTGCGCGAGGACGCCTCCCGCCGTGATCGTCGCGACCGGGAGACCCGCGAGGCTCTGGAGGCGTTGGAACAGAAACGACGGTCTCAGGTCATGCAGAAGAACCTGCCCCGGCCAGCCTCCGTGAACATTTCTGCGTTGGTCTCGCTGGCATCCAAAATCGCCGACGGACCCGAGGGCCTGATTGCCGCGGAAGCCGCCAAGCTCATCGCCAACGACGCGACCAAATTTCCCCAGCCCGGAGGCAAGGTGAAGGGGTCTGCGCCACCGCTGGATGTCATCGGTGACAGTGATCTGGCCGCGGCTCGGCAGGCGATCGCGGCGGAGACGGCGGAAATCCCAGGCCTCGAGCAGGTCCAACAGCACTTTGAAAGCCGCAGCAGCAGTTCTCTCCTCCTTGGTCTCGGCTGCTACGACGATGACGAAGAGCGCCACCAGGAGACAGTCATGCGTGCCGCATTCGATGTAGGTCCCGAGAAGCAACGGGAGAGGAGAACGTCATTTCGCTAACATGTTGCAGACGGTGCAGGACTCGATTATTGCGTCAGCAGACAGGGGCACCAAGCTGGAGACGAAGCTGAAGCTGCACCTCGGCGGCTACCTGAAGCGCCAGGCGCTGCTGCGCGAGAAGATCAACGGCGCGCACGAGGCGCTGGAGAAGGCGAACAATGCACTCAACGGCTTCAAGACGCTGGCCATCTCTGAGGAGGTGGCCATCTCGCGCCGTCTCGAGGCGTTGCGCGAGGAGGTCGGCTTCGTCAGCCGGAGGGAGAGGGAGGCGCAGGAGATGTACAGGCGGACCAAGGACGAGCTGGACACGCTCAGGGGCGACGGGGCTAATGGCGTTCACTGATGCCGCGCTGAACGATAAGAATGTTGTACAGTACTGGGCTTGCACGTACGAGACGGTCAGTGGTTTTGGTTCTATTCGCTGATGGCCGTGGGCTGGCCTGATGATGGACGCCTGTGTCGGCGTGTGCTGGGTCGCAGTCCTATCTGTAAGACTACGAAAAGACGGCTTTTCAGCAGTGCAAAGCATGATTTCCGCTTCGTTCACGTGAATGTACTAGATGAGTGACTCAAGATGTACGCCCCATGGGCATATTGTGCCGTTCCATTCCTTCTGCACTTCTGCATAGCCTGAAATTCAATCTGAAGCATCATCAGATGTGCCCACAGCGGACACTCGCCATGCGATCCAACTTGCTACCCCCTCCTAACCATGCATGCACACAGACACAGAAACCCGAGGATAGATAAAGAGTGGGAGAGGAAGGGGAAAAAGAACGGGGGAGGAAGAGGGAAACGAACACGAGAAGAAAGGGGACGGCGCATCGGAGCAGGCTCACTTCCTCTGCCCGAGCCTCGGCAGCTTCACGCGCAGGATCAGGCACCACGACGCAAACGCCACGGCGACACAGCACAGGAACGTCAGGCGCAGGGCGGCCTCGTAGCTCAGCACGACCTGCTCCCGCGCGGGGCCCTCGAGGGTGGCGACCGTCTCGACGCTCTCGCGGACGCGGGCGATGATGTCGGCCTTGGCGGGCCCGGTGACGTGGCGGTCGAGGTAGACGACGAGGGCGTTCTGCATGACGAGGCTGCTGGCGGCGATGCCGAGGACCATGCCGAGGCTGCGCCAGAGGATGAGGGTGCTCGTGACGACGGCCTGGTCGCGCTGCGCCGACACGGCGAGCACGGCCATGAAGGTGCCGGGGAACTGGAAGCCCTGGCCCAGGGCGTGCGGTACGAGGACGAGGAGGTAGCCGAGGGCGGGCCAGCCGCGCTGCAGGCTGGCGAGGGCGAGGGTGCCGAGGACGAAAAAGGTCGTGCCGGCGGCGAGGGGCCACTTGAGGCGGCGCGTGCGCGTGATGAGGAGGCCGGTGATGGCGCCGGCGGTGGAGGCCACGACCGAGGGGATCACGAGGCGGAGGCCCGAGTCTGTGGCCGACAGCAGCAGGACGGCCTGGAAGTAGAGGGGGATGTTGAAGAGGATCGCGTTGGTGAGGATCGAGGCGAGCGCGTTGGCAAAGATGAGGTTCATGCGCGGCGAGTGCCGGACGAGATGGAGAGGCATGATGGGACGAGTGGCCAGCGACTGGCTGTAGAGAAAGGTCGGGAAGGCGACGGAAAAGGTGACGAGCGCCGCGATGACGAACGGATGGGACCCTGCGGGTTTCTGTCAGTCGGGCTGCGGCACATGGACGCCAGGCCAGGTGTACTTACAGGGCAGCACGTTTCCGCCTAGGTTCTGTCGAGGCGCATCGGATTAGTCTGCTTCGTTGCAAAAAGGTTCAGTTGAGTGACTTACCAGGCCGAGCACAAGGGATGTGATGGAGGTCGTCAGCAGCAGTGAGCCCCTCGAGTCAAACGCCTGGAGAGCCTCGAGGAACGTCTCCCGCTTGCCCACGATGCCGAGGTCATTGGGGACGGCCAGAGAGGCGACCAGGACGCAGATGAGAATGGGGAGCACCTGGATGCCAAACTCCCACCGCCAGCCAAGGTGGTCCGCCATGGCACCGCCGAGAGCAGCGCCAAGAGCTGAACCGATGCCGTAGGTGATGTTGAGGTATGACTGATACTCGCCTCGTGCCCTAGAACATCGTCAGTGTCATGACGAATGACATGGCCACACTCTCCGTGGGAGGAACAACACGTACTCGATGGTCACCATGTCACTGATGATGATACTCCCCAGCGTCATCATGCCTCCGGCACCGAGGCCGCACGCCGCTCTGGCAAAGATGAAGCTCGTCATGCTCGTGGCCGTGGCACACCACACGTTGGCCATGGCAAAGATGAACATGGTGATCAGGTACGGCGGTTTCCGTCCCACCGAGTCCGAGATGCGTCCCAGCAGGGGCTGGAAACTGGTCGAGGTCAGCAGGAAGGCGGTCGAAAGCCAGGACGCGCTGTTGGAGGCGTTGAAGTAGGAGGTGATGACGGGGTGGCTCGAGGCCATGATGGTGCCGTCGAAGCAGGCGATGAAGTTCAGCGTCAGGATCATGCTAAAGATGCACCAGAAGCGGCGGGTGCTGATGCCGTTCAGGTAGGGGGACTCTTTGGCATCGTCGTGGCCGTTCGGAAGGAGGGGGTCGCGGTCATCGTGCTCGGCATCAAGGTAGGGGGACGCCGGGTCGTCTTGGTCGTCAGCACCATTCGCAACACGGTTGACGGTTGACGGCCGTGGACTCCCTCGGCTCTGGCTCTGACTGTGACTCCTTGTCGCACCGGCTCGTTGTCTGGAAACAGAGCTGTAGCGACGGGCACCTCTCAACAATGGATTCTCGGTTGACTCGGGCTCGAGAAATCCGCCTGATGTCGGCACGGATCTTGCGAGAAGAAGATCAAACTCGTTTGGATCAATTTCATCCCCCTCATCACTATCGTCAGAATCTCTGCGGCCACGTCCGGTCCTCGGCACAGTCAGATGGTTGGTCGTCGGAGAGCTGCCTGTTGGTCCAAGCAGTGGTGTGTTCTCGTCGGCGCCTTGTGGTCGTGAGAGCGGCGACAGATCTTCGCTGTCACTTCTCGTGGCCATGGCGTCCACCTTTTTTTTTGGCCTTCTACAACAGAAGAGCCACAAAAAAGGAAGTGTTGGCGATGGCGATGAGGATTCACCTTTGATGAGGCGGGGCCTGATTGATAGTTCTGATGGTGGGGCAGGCTCTGAATGCTGCAAGCGTCAGCAGGCGGAAAGGCGAGAGCGATCGCTTATTGAGTCACCTGTACTAGGTGTGTTGGGTGTGTTATTCCAGTGTGACTCAGGGAAAACCGACTGATCTCATGTGGTCTACCTCCTGATTGATGGCGAGGCGAGAAAGGAAGTGCGCGAACGGAACAAGGCTGGCGACAGGTTAAGATTATGGGCAGCCAAAGTTGGGGCAAGAAGGATGATGTGATGCGGGGCCGGCACCGGAGCTTGTCCACGTCCCGCCGGCCCCTGTTGGCTCGGCGCCATCCCCGGTCGTGCCGAGCGACCGGCTTGTGCCGGACAGCCACGTACTCTTTGTCCGACGGCGTCTATCTCATTGGGCTATATGCGAGTGGTTGACTGATGCAACTTGCTGCTGTCCATGATTGCTTATCATATGACACGAGTTTGGCAGTATGGTTACATTTCAGGCCTGCCATACACATCGCCGCGAAAAGCGTGGTAGACTCCCGCACCCGAGCTCACTGTTGATCAGAGGGGGCCTGGGCTTCGCCTCGTAGCCACGAATGCATGCAACCCTGCAGAATGTCCAGTCTGTCCTCGGGGAGCCACGCTAGGAAGCCTTGCACAAAGTCGATGAACACTCCCTTGTCCTCTCCTCGAAGAGTCCCCGCAAGACGCTCAAAGCTTATATCGGGCAAGGGTACAAGTCCCTTCCACTGACCTATCAGGCAGCTTCTGTCAGTCATCCACATGATACGAGGGTTTCTTTCAGAAACGCGGTCCGTACCATCGTCTTCCCAGTATTTGGCCGCCTCCTTGCTCCTCTTGAGAAACTCGGCCGGTGGTGGGCCAAGCAGAGCAGTCATGGCTGCAAGGTGATACGCGTCATTCTTCTCCTTCGACTCGTGGTCGTACACTGCGAAGAGATTTTCTCGCTCGAGAAGATCCCACGCCTACACATGCGGGGGTTCCAGGTTACGGGTCAGAAAGAGACTCCTGAGAAAGAAGAATATGGTGGGGGAGGGAGGAAACGAGGCAAGCCTTACCAAGAGCCCCACGCTCCAGTTATCGACGCGATAGCCCCAGGGCATGTCCAAGATGACCTCGGGGGCGCGATATGGCAACGGCATGGCGTTACCAGAGTGCTCGTCGCCGATTCGGGCCTGGCCCAGGTCACAGATGGTCAGTGGCCCGGCTCCTCCTAGAACATACTGCGATACCTGAGTGGTCACTTCATCCGTCTGCTTCCGCGGCGATGGGCGTTCGACTTCATTCTGCTCCACCTTGGCAAGAACAGAGTCGCTTGTAATGGCAATGAGGAGATTGTCCGAATGCAGATCTAACCACCACCAGTCAGATGGCATACCTCGCCGTCAGACCTGCCGACTTGCCAGTGTGTATCACGTTTGCCTCATGGAGAAAATGAACCCCGAAGAGCGTCTGCTTGAGCGCGCTGGTCACGAAGACCTTCGGGAAGACCTTGTCCTGCTGCATGTCCTGGAAAGTCCTGAGGCTCATGCCCAGCGGTGTCATGATGAACACTTCGTGTTCGCCATGGGGTCCTTGAATCTTGAACGAATCTTCCAGTGTCCGAATGTGCTTCAAACCTGGATGTTCGTCTACGCCATCAGTGGTCACGTCAGCGCCTGCCAGATGCTGATAGACCCGAAGCTCCTGATTGTGGTCGGGCAAGTCGTTGACGTGCACCTTCAAGGCCCAGTACTTCTGCGACCTGAAATGAGAGCATGTGCCTGTCAGATATTCCGGGTCAACTCTTCAGGAAGAAGGGCGTTTACCTGAGGTCGCGGGCCAGCCACACGGTAGAGCTGCTTCCATACCCGAGCTTCGCGACAACTTGGTAGTAGTCGTGGATGACTTGACCAATCTTCATGGGATAGTATACTTCGCGCTTATAGAACGGCAATTTCTCCTCTTCCACCTTTTCAGCTCGGTCGATTAGCTCGAACCCGCTGGATGGAAATTGGCGTGGGGTGGCCAGGGTCGACAGGGAGGACCTGTCTCGTGTGGACGCCATGGTGATCCTCGAACTTCGACGTGGCCAACGAATGACGGATCGTGGGTATGGAGTCCAAAACGAGATGGAGAGAAGGAACCTCCGTGCGAACATGTCCGCCGAGGCGACTATTTAGACTGATGTTGATCATTGATGGGCCAAGCCATCAAGTTCCAACTGATTTCAGGTCGTTACTCCAGGCGGTGGCCCTTGCGATGGTCTGTGCCCAACGACCCACTTGTTGGCAGTCAGGTAGCTGGCTCTCCTACCTGTAAGCTATTACCTACCAAGGTACCTCTCTCTACCTTGGATAGGCAAGCTCAAGCTGTACTGCTGTGTTCCTTTGAAACACATCGTAGCATTAATGCTTCAAGAGCACTCTAATAAGGGCATCAAGCTTGATTTCCGCTCCATCTCAGACGGCGTTTGACTCACGAGTATGGTTGCAATCCAACAGAGACGTCCCACGCCCCAACCCACCAACCAGCGTTGGTTGGGAAACTTCTTAAAGACATCAGGAGACAGAGAGTTTGCGCTCAGCTTTGGAAAAGAGAACTGGAGAGAAGAGACTTCGAACATGTACACTCTAGCAAAGAATAGCTTTCATATAGTTGATAGGTTAATCGACCAAAGTAGAAACGTACGAGTGGGCGGCCGTGCTAGTTGGGACAGGCAGGAACGCCAACACGAGCCGAGCTCTTTGGGACTTGGAACACGCCTCATAAAACGTTTTCTTGGTAATTGGAATGAAACCAGAAAGTCAACGTCTCTTGTTAGACTCCGTCGGGACTGGAGGCAAATCCACAAAGGACGTCCAAGCATTGCTACTGCAACACGGTCAGCTGAGACGAATTATGTTAGTTGGGTGCGGAAAAGACGAAAATGTGCCAGAGCCCAGAGCCACAGGACGGAATCTGTTGCCATACTAGCGAAGGGAGCTATAAGTGTCGAAGGTGAAGACACTTCATGGCAGTGTGTCTCGTGAGATGTACGATCTAAAACCTCGAACTCGATGAATTGACACACAACTAATATAACACACCGCACAGCTTCCTTCAAGGTACATTGATTTTAACCATGTTATCATCCAAGGCTGTGGCGAAGACTTTGGAGCAGGTCGGCAAAGTCAGCCTTCAGCATGTTCTAACCGCAAACCCGGCGACTGGTCCCGAGTGGCTCCGTGCTCTCGATACTGCAAAGAAAACTGTGCAAGCTGATGTACATTTGGACCCGAGACAGTATTACTTATTGATTTACTGACCATATTCAGCATCCTGATGTCACCTCATATGAGATCGCGTAAGTTGTTTTGGAGCATAAGTCTTTCCTGCATCGGTGCCCGCCTAACGCTGTATCAATAACAGCGGAGCCAAGGCTCATCAGTCCCATAATGTAGAGGCCCATTCGAATGTCCTCAGTGTCAAGTTCTTCGCCGGCGGCCAGAGGGTTGTGTCGGGCCATGTCCACCTGGGCGGCAACATAGATTACGGGAAGAGGCGCTGAGGCCAGGCATGACAGTCGAAGGGTGTGCTTGTTTCAAGCTAGGAACGGCGATGCGCCGAGAAAAGCCTTAAGATGAAGAGATCCCAGGAGCATACCTGGGCTTTCCTCGTTTGCTTTGAGATGAGTTGCATTGTCATGTAAATCAACGTGGGGTTCCTTGCACAGCACACGATCCTGGAGAATCTGGTGTGGCCACACTGGCTAATGTTCTCTGGCAACGTCGGAATTATGTGGAAGTTATCCAAAGGCTCGAAATTGACATCGATTGACTTGTTTGACGTCGTTTATAATGATCTTCAAACGCTATATGTGGATACACACCGACCTGTGAACATTCCTGCGTGCCCTTCCCGACCTGCACTTCTCTAACAGCCGAACAGGTATTACTTCTTTCGCGACGGCCTCGCGTTCTTAGCCCTCTTCTTCTCCGCCTCTTTCCTTGCCTTGCGAATATCCTCGGCCCCCTTGATCTCGAACTTGCTGCCGGCGCCGTCCTTGAAGCGACCAATACGCTTCTCTTTAGCCTCAGCCACCCTCTTCTTCCGCACGTGGTAATCGTCACGGAACTTGTCCGCCTCCTTGGGCGCCTTCTCCAGGTTGTGCTTGTACCGCACACCCGTCGGGATCTGCGGCGCGTTGCTCTTCTCGAGCTCGCCCACGCGCGGCTTGCCCATTCTGTTGGCCTTGCGCCACTTGTCGTAGCGGCCGCTCTGGAAGCTCGCCGCGATCTTGGTGCCGCTCTCGCCGCGGATGTACTTCTTGCCCTTGGAGCCGTCCTCGTCGTTGGCGCGCGCCACGTACTTGTTCTGCTTCTTGTCCCATCGCATGCCCGACTTGGCCTGGTCGCCAAACTGCGCCTTGCCGCCGTCATCGTTGGTCAGGTTCATCGCCGCTTCGCGCGCCTGCTCGACGAAGCTCGAAGTCTGTGTGCCGGAGGAGATGCCGTAGCCACGCTCCTCAGCCGTGTTGATCGTGCGGGGCGTGTAGCCCATGAAGATCTCGTCGTCGCGGTACGAGTTGGCCGCCTTCTTCTTCTTGTCGTCGGGGTTTGAGATTGTCACCTCAAGGTCATCATCCGAGTCGTCCATATCGATGCCGGAGATACCGTCCATCTCATCGGCGCCCTCACCCACTGCCGCTTCATCATCGTTGTCGTCGTCGAAGCCTTCCATGTCTTCATCCGAATCGATTTCCTCCTCCGCTGCTTGACCTCTCCTCGGCGTGATCCTCTTGCGCAGCTCCTTCATCACCTCGGCAGCCTCACTGTTACCCGCCTTTCCGCCCCTGCTAATCTCGAAGATGGTCTCATGCGGCCGGTAGCCGCTTACCTTGGCCATCAGCTCCGCCCGCGCCTGCGCATCATCGTCCTTGACCTCGTCAAAGAGCGGGTGCAGCTGCGACCACGCCTTGCTCCCGACCGTCTCGCGCGCACGCCGTGCGCTTTGGCTCGACGCCGAGTTGCGCGTCTTGAGATAGAGCTTCTCGGCCTTGACAGAGACCCTACGCGTGGCCTCGATATCCTCGTGGTCGCCCAGGACCTTGGCCAGCCACTCCATGTGCACCTCGATCCTGTTGCGCGGCAGCGCACCCACAACGACTTCTTCGTTATAGGACGGGCTCTCGCTCTCACGGCCGACCACCATCTTGCGTCCCAAGAATAGCTGCAAATCGAGCAGGTAAGGGGCATCGAGCTCCCTGACGATGCTGTACGCCCAACCGCGTTGACCGGCACGGGCAGTTCGACCGACACGATGCACAAAAACCTTGGGCTGGGGTGGGAAGTCGTAGTTGATAACATTCGCCAGCACAGGAATATCGATACCTCGAGCAGCGACATCTGTGACGACCAGGATGTTGGACCTGCCGTTGCGAAAGTTCTCCGTGTGTATCCTACGCGCTTCCTGGTCGAGCGCACCATAGACGTAGGATACAGCAAAGCCAGCCACCCGCAGCAAGTTCGCCAAGTATTCAACGTGATGCTTTGTCGCCGCGAAAATGATGGTCGAGTGTTCTGTAGGCTTTCCCTTGCCGCCAGAGCCGTCCCTGCCGCGCTTTCGCTTCTTGTTAGGCTTGCCGTCGAGAGGCATGCCGTCGGGGCTGCCAAGCGGCATCTTGATGATGTCGTGAAGAATGTGCAGAAGCGATGCTTCTTTTTCGGCTCCCTTGACGCCAAAAAAGGCACTTTCGAGGTCCGGCGACACCTTGGTCTCAATATCCAGTCTCACAAGGGTGGGATCCTGGAGACCAGCACGCGCGAATTCGACGAGCGACGCAGGCAGCGTCGCGGAGAACAGCAAACTTTGCCTCGAAGGGGGAAGCGCATGCAGAATCTCGGTGAGTTGGGCCGCAAAACCCATCTCGAAGAGACGATCGGCTTCGTCGAAAACGACGTACTGGATGGAGGAAAGGTTCAGGGACATCTCGACCTTCAAATGCAAGAACCGACCGGGCGTGGCGATGATAATGTCGGGGTTGGCCGACAGCAGACTAAACTGCTCGTCCATGCTGTCACCACCGACAACCAGTGCCGCCTTGAGGTCCGTTCCTTTGTTGAAGTCCTTGACAACTCTCAGCGTCTGGATGGCCAGTTCGCGAGACGGCGACATGATGAGGGCTCGGGCGCCAAACTTGGCGCTGTGCGTCTTGAGGCGCTCAATCATGGGAATAACGAAGGCGGCCGTCTTTCCGGAACCGGTGCGGGCCATGCCCACGACGTCCTTGCGGTCCATGATCAAGGGAATGGTTTTGCGCTGAATGGGCGTCGGCTGCACAAAGCCCTTCTTCGTGATGGCTCGGAGGAGGTTCGAATTGAGACCTTGGCACGTTAGCTGCTGCTCGATCGCATCGTCGTCAAGACAGCTTCTCCTCACCCATGACCTGGAAGCCACCGCCCTTTTTGTTCACCTTGCCCGTGAGGTTGGTCGTTTTCCTGTTGGCGGCGGCCTGCTTGAGGGCAATGAAAGCCTCGTCTCCGTCGTCGCCATCACCGTCTCCGTGAAGAATGTCGTCAACATCGAAATCCAGCTCGGCGTTCTGGCGCTTGCCCTTCTTGCCATCGTCGCTGGCGCCATCGTCAACAGCAAAGAGAGAGTCGCCGATGTCGTAGCCGCCATCTGACGGCGTGGGGGAGGCTTCGCGGCGAGGCATCGTGACAAGACGCTGTCGTCGTATCAGAAGGCCACAATTGTTGAGTTCAATGTCGAAGTCGAGATTGAGAAACGAAGGTTGGGCTGGAGAAAGGTCCCGCTCATCGACACCGGGGACCTCGAAAATTTGGGCGGCGGAAGGTGCAGTCGGCCAGAAAAAATCTTATCGCAACGTCTTATCGCAGCTAGTGCGGGACAGCTTCTCGCAAGGGTCCCACGCCGCCCGCCGCCGCTGTCTGCTGCCTGCCACGCTACCGCCTGTCAGCCGATGACTTCAGTACGCGCTACCTATCTATCGTTCGTTTCCTTTGTCGCCCTGATCCGACTACAACACCTGCCACCAACCCCCACCCAACCACTCTCTTCATTTGA